TCCTATTTGTTTATATAAGGCAACTCTTATTTATATCCATCCAAACTCTTTAGTATATATGAATATTATTAGTCAAATCCTCAGCTCAACTGAGAATCCCGAGTTCGATCCTCGGGCGGAGACACGATGATGGGCATTTTTTTCATCTGATGCCTCTGATGACCCAACAGGAAATTGGTACCTTACACACAGAAGTCACAGTAGCGTGATGCATCTAATGAACAAATCCACAAAGGCCGTGACGAGGGTTCGAACCTATGTCCGAGAGGATCCCAGACGTTCTTCAATCGTCTGAGCTGCTACATGGATAAGAATTGCCATCGAGAATTCAACTTGACCTACCACGGATCCTGTTTGGTGCCTTCCTTTGATAATTAACTCGCCTGGCGTTCCGCGAGCGCTTTGTCATGGGTTCGTATCCTGGCCGGGGAGGATTTACTGGGCGCAAATCCTTAACTGTAGCCTCTGTTTAACGCAACAGTAAAATGTGTACTTGGTTGTAACAACGATTCTTCGCGGCGGGGATCGTATTCCAGGGACTTGCCCGAAACGCTACGCGTACTAGTGGCTGTACAAGAATGTAACAACTCTTGTATATATCTCAAAAAAAAAAAAAAAAAAAAAAAAAAAAAAAATTACTTACCACGGATCCTGCAGTCTCTCCGAGACACAAGTCCAACCACTTGGGCAGTGGTTGAGTGCTTAAACTGGTTGGTAGAGCGACGGTCTCACATCATGCAGGTCGACGTTCAATCCCCAACCGTTCAAGTGGCTGGGCAGCATTCCTTTCCCGCCGTCCCATTCCAAATCCTTATCCTGATCCCTTCCAAGTGCTATAGTCGTACTGGCTTGGCGCTTTTCCTTAATAACAATAATAATATTTTATTTAGGAAAAATACATACATATAGATCCAGCGTTACAAACATTCTGATTGATTTATGGATAGAGGTAGTACATACAATACCTAAAGCCACTAGTACGCATAGCGTTTCGGGCAAGGTGAGGTGGGGGATAAAACACTAAGACTAAAACTTTATAATAATAATAATAATTTTTTATAATAATAATAATTTTTATTTAGGTAAGGTACATACATAAAGAGATTTTACAAAGTTTGTTGGCTTTATAGATAGAGCTAGTACATACAATGCCTAAAGCCACTATTACGCAAAGCGTTTCGGGCAGAAATTTATAGTAATTGAGCTTAAAGTATTCTCAATTAAAGTAATTGAGCTTAAAGTGTACAAGAATGTAACAACTCTTGTATATATCTAAAAGGAAAAGTATAATTTGCGTTGAAAGGAAAAAAATATTAGATAAAAAAGGGGGGATCATGGTAGAAAATAGCCAATATACAAGTTGGTCAACAAACAGTATTGTTTAAAAATTAGTAAGACATGGGTTGACATTTATTTATTTATTTATTTATTTGTGCATATACAAGAATGTACATAAGGAATGTGAGGATACAATTATGGTAATTACAGTCTTGTAAAGCCACTAGTACGCGCAGCGTTTCGGGCAGGTCCTTAATCTAAGAAAATTTTAAGGAGGTAAATACTTGCAAAATTTAGAGACAAAAAAATGATAACAGATTACATGAAATGAAAAAAAAAAAGATGAGAGAAAATTATAGGTACAGTATATTAAAGCACACAGGTAGCTAAGATTGATTGCAATGACAGCTTAAAATGGTAGTTGACAACAAATTGGTAGGCACAATACAGCAGAAACAATATAAGATTGATTGCAATGACAGCTTGAATGGTAGTTGACAAAAATTGGTAGTCACAATACAGCATATGGCTAGCACATAAAAGAAGACAGCAATGAACATAATGATAAGGTTGTTTGATATTACATAAAAATTAGGAGATTGGGTAACACTAGGTACAGAGCAAATTTAAAGCTCAGTGTAGGAAACTATAGGTAGGGTAAGGTAGGTTACATGGAGTTAATCAGGCAGTACTTAGTTTTCATCTTAAACTGGTTGAGAGAGGTACAGTCTTTAACATGGTTGGGAAGGTTATTCCACATTCTGGGTCCCTTGATTTGTAGAGCATTTCTAGTTTGACTAAGTCATACTCTTGGAATATCAAATAGGCATTTAAGATAATCCTTTCCCTTAAAACCAAGTCTGGTGCCCTTGAGGAGATACCAACTTTAATTTACAAAAAAGCCTCCAGATCTTTAGCTCCTGCCATTGCATTGCTCTACAACAAGTCACTTGAACTCCAAACCTTTCCAGATATTCTAAAAAAAAGCGAGAGTAACGCCTGTCCACAAATGTGGTGATCTCACAGATGTCAACAACTACAGACCTATATCAATCCTGCCAAACTGGTCAAAATTATTTGAAAAACTAATCTACAAGCAGCTTTACTCTTTTCTAGCCAAACACAATATACTTAGCTCTTGTCAATATGGCTTCAGACCCAAAAAAAGCACTCACGATGCACTTATTAGTATGATTAACTTGATTCATGCAGCTCTTGGTAAAAATGAGTTCCCTGTTGGGTTATTTGTGGACCTGCGTAAGGCTTTTGACACTGTCAACCACCAAAACCTTCTTCTTAAATTACAACATTATGGAGTCAGAGGACACTCCCTGCAATACCTCAAATCTTACCTTACTGACAGGCTCCAGTATGTTTCTGTGAATAATTCAATTTCTCCCACCTTACCCATCAACATTGGTGTTCTTCAGGGCAGCATACTTGACCCTCTCCTCTTTCTCATCTACATTAATGACCTTCCAAATGCCTCCCAAACGCTTTGCGTAATAGTGGCTTTAGGCATTGTATGTACTAGCCCTATCTATAAATCCATCACTCTTTGTAAAATCTCTTGTATGTATGTACCTTACCTAAATAAACATTTGATTTGATTTGATTTGATTTGATTTGATTTGATTTGATTCATTGACGTCAGTGGAATTAGTAGGCTTTAGGTACAGAGACTGTGGATAGTTACCTGTAAGATAGTCCTTAACATCAGTACTGGAAGATGGAATATCATTTGCAAGGGATGACCCAATGGAAAAGAAGAACCTATTGAACTCAATAGCAGAATCAGAGGCTGAAAGCTGACCATCGTTATTGGACAGGAGTGTTGGTTTGTTATTTAAAGTCTTCTTTGATCCCAATATTTGTGAAATTGTGCTCCAAGTTTTTTTAATGTTGCTCTTTATTTGGGTAAATTTATCTTCATAGTATTTAGTTTTGGTTCGTCTAATTATTTTAGATAGCAATAACGAGTAATTCTTTGAGAATTCTTTGGAGACGGTTCCTAACCTATACTTCTTCTCAAGGTCATGTTTTTTATTAATGGATTTAAATATTCCCTTCGTAAGCCAAGGATTGTTAAGACTTTTGGTTGTGACTTGTTTTGTAAGCATAGGACAGTGGGTGTCATAAAGGCTGAGAGTTTTTTTAAGAAAAGATTGCACTGCTAGGTTGATGTCCCTAACTCAGACTCCCAGTTGACATTAGCAGCAGCAGTTATAAAATTGTCTATAGCAGTTTCATTGTGCAGCCTAAAGCTTAACTCCCATGACTCTAGAGGTGGTTTGCTAATGTTAGTTAAGAGAAATGTGGGGTAATGGTCTGTAGTGCTATCGGTGATTATACCTGAAGTAAGCGGAGAGGTTATGTTGGTCCAGATGTGATCTAGAGTCGTGGCAGTACTATCAGTGATTCTAGTAGGTCTAGTGATTAAGGGTATGAGGAAGCAGGAATTCATACAGTTGAGGAAGCTAACAGCAGTAGGGTGTTCAGGTTCGCAGAGGTCAATATTAAAGTCCCCTGCGATAATTAGATGGTTTTTGTTCAGTCTGTTATCAAGTATTAGATTTCTAAGGTTTGAGTTGAATTCGGACACATCAGTGTTAGGAATTCTATAGACTGCACCCACAGACAGGAACATATGGAACGATAAGTTAGTACCTAGTGCTGTGAGTAATGTATATATATCATCAAAATGTTTACCAAGTGACCTAACATTTTGGTTGTAAACTGATAAGCAGGTGCTATTTTGGAGTTTGTTTTTTGCCTTGTGTGCTGTACTCACCTAGTTGTGCTCGCGGGGGTTGAGCTCTGGCTCTTTGGTCCCGCCTCTCAACCGTCAATCAACAGGTGTACAGATTCCTGAGCCTATCGGGCTCTGTCATATCTACATTTGGTGATTACCATATTTGTATCCTCACATTCCTTATGTACATTCTTGTATATGCATAAATAAATAAATAAATAAATAAATAAATAAATAAATAAATAAATAAATAAATAAATTTGAAACTGTGTATGGAGTCAGCCTCCACCACATCACTGCCTAACCACATGCCTGGTGTGCTGTGAAATTGATATTGTGATTATGTGTTAATACATTGTTTACATCATGTGCTGTAGAATATCTGCAATTTTGATCATTAAAGTGATGATTGTCATAGATACTGGATAAGATATTGATATAAGGGTTGATATAATGGTGATATTATTGATATTATATCGAGGTGGTTGACCTCGATATAAGCCTGTCAAGTACTGTAAGTATAACCTGGCTGCCTGTCCTGCAACACAGTGAATTGTATTATTATAAATTAATAATACAAAATTAAACCCATAGAACCGCCTACCTGCCGAAGCAGGAAATGCCAAATCTGTTGATTTTTAAAATCCAGTTTGGAAAAAAAATCATTAGGACAAATTAAGGGAGGAAGAAGGGGAATTTTGACAAATCTGGCTTCCTGTCCCCATCGAGGCCACTAGAAAGTGGCAGTGTCCCATCAGGTAAACTCGGGTAAATTGAGATTGGCAAGCATGCGAACGGGCGGCGGCGGGCGGGGGAGTGTTGGCAGCACTGGGAGCTTGTAAACAAACTCCTGGACCCCCTCAGCTGGTGATGCCTGACCCCTGGGGTCACCTCTCACGCTGACCCCTGGCCTTCCCTGCAGGCCACAGTGGCACATGCTTGGAGCAACACCTTGAGGAACTCGCTCAAGGAACACCTTGAGCGAGGAAGGCGGTGGAGGCCAGAGCCATCACCTCCTCCCCCTACATGACATATTACAGGGAAGTAGTAGCAGTATTATTATGAAGACGGCATAGCACATGTAGCTCTCAATTTACCTGAATTTACCTGAGAGGCCACTTAACACTAGTGGCCTCGATGAGGACAGGAAGCCGGTGGGTTGTCAAAGGTTCCCCCATTTGCTCTGAGGATCTTTTTCCAGTTGTATTTTAAAACTCAACACAGTTCTTATTCTGTTACTGCTGTCGCTTTACGGGCGACGACGTAACTAGAGGTATGCACCCTGACGACGTAACTAGAGGTATGCACCCTGACGACGTAACTAGAGGTATGCACCCTGACGACGTAACTAGAGGTATGCACCCTGACGACGTAACTAGAGGTATGCATCCTGACGACGTAACTAGAGGTATGCATCCTGACGACGTAACTAGAGGTATGCACCCCTTACGATGTAACTAGAGGTATACACCCTGACAACATACCTTACCTTGAAGTTACCTTGAGGTGCTTCCGGGGCTTAGCGTCCCCAGCGGCCTGTTTGTCGACCAGGCCTCCTGTTTGCTGGACTGGTCAACCAGGCTGTTGGATGCGGCTGCTCGCAGCCTGACATATGAATCACAGCCTGGTTTATCAGTATCCTTTGGAGGTGCTTATTCAGTTCTCTCTTGAACACTGTGAGGGGTCAGCCAGTTATGCCCTTTATGTGGAGTGGAAGCGTGTTCAACAGTCTCGGGCCTCTGATGTTGTTAGATCTCTCTCTCAGAGTACCTGTTGCATCTTTACTTTTTAACGGGGGTATTCTGCACATCCCTATGCACGTCCCTGCACGTCACGCAGGCACACTCGCCCTGTACATCTGCACATCCCTGCACATCACAGGAGTGTCATCCCGTGACGCTCTGTTACTCTCTCATCTATCCTTATTTCAATTATGGCATTTGTGCTTGGGGTTCTACTACACAAAATCATTTACGTCCTCTAATTATTCAATGCAAAGCTGCTATTAGAACAATATCTAACTCTGGCCCAAGACAGCACTCGGTACCCTTACTCAAATCTTTGAAAATGTTGGATATTAAGTCAATGCTCATCCTCTCATGTTTACTCTGTATATTTAAAACTCTGAACTACAATGTCAATCCTGACCTTAGAAGCTTCCTAGAAGGTTGTAACAGAACTCATGGGCACCAAACTAGAAACAAATACCTATTTGATATTCCAAGAGTGCGACTTAACCAAACTAGAAATGCTCTACAAATCAAGGGACCCAGAATGTGGAATGATCTTCCCAATCATGTCAAAGGCTGTACCTCTCTCAACCAGTTTAAGAGTAAAACCAAGTGCTTCTTAACCACTGCACTGCGCAAAGCGCCTTTAGGCGCTCAGAGAGTTGTGCTTTTTGTTTTTTAATTTGGCTATATTTTAATGTTTTTTAATGTTTTCATTACTATTTGTGTTTTGAAATGGAAATAGTTGACTTTGGAAACATTTTGACATTAAATTTACCTGAACATTTGTAAAAATAACAAAAATATGTCCTTGACAATTGCACCAAGACGTTTTTGCCGAAAATAGGTGAGCAGTGCAAGGGTTAATTAACTCCATGTAACCTACCTTACCCCCCTAAATGTCAACCCATGTCTTGCTTTTGTTAAACAATGCTGTTTTTTTCTCCAACTTGTACAATTGTTGATTTCTGCTATGTTCCCCCTTTTTTATTTTTATTCCTTTTTTCAACACAATTTATACCTAATGCCTATTACTATTAAGTTTTAGTCTAAGTGTCTTCCCCCCCCCCCCCCCCCCACACTTTGCCCGAAACGCTTTGTGTATTAGTGACTTTAGGTACTGTATGTACTAGCTGTATCTATAAATCCAACATTATATTTGTAAATCAACTATGTATGCACTTTTCCTGAATAAAAATTTATTTATTAATTATTATTATTATTATTATTATTATTATTATTATTATTATTATTATTATTATTATTATTATTATTATTATTATTATTATTATCCTGCCATGCCTTTTGGTCTCATGTGATGTTATTTCTGTGTGCAGGTTTGGGACCAGCCCCTCTACTATTTTCCACATGTAAATTATTATGTATCTCTCCCGCCTGCGCTCAAGGGAATACAGTTTTAGGCTCTTTAGTCGGTCCCAGTAGTTTAGATGTTTTACTGAGTGGATTCTAGCAGTAAAGGATCTCTGCCCGTTATCCAGGTCAACAATTTCTCCAGCTTTGAAAGGGGCTGTCAATGTGCAGCAGTACTCCACTCTAGAGAGCACAAGCGTTTTGAAAAGTGTCATCATCGGTATAGCATCTCTAGTGTGAAAGGTTCTTGTTATCCAACCTGTCATTTTTCTTGCAGTTGTGTTCTTTTAAAGGTAAGATCTTCCAACATGAGTACACCCAGATCCTTTACATTGCCTTTTCGTTCTATGTTATGATTTGCCTGAGTTTTGTACGTGGTTTCCGTTTTTACATTTTAATTTTTTCCGTAGCACATAAGCTGGAACTTATCTTCGTTAAACACCATATTATTTTCTGTAGCCCATAGAAACACCTGATTTACATCTGATTGGAGGTTTGCCATGTCCTCTATGTTGTCTATTCTCATGAAAATCCTAGTGTCATCTGCAAAGGATGATACAGTGCTATAGATTGTGTTCTTGTCTATGTCCGATATGAGGATGAGAAAAAGTACTGGAGCAAGCACAGTACCCTGGGGGACTGAGCTCTTCACGGTTGATGGACCGGATTTTATTTTGTTGACTATGACACACTGGGTTCTGTTAGTCAGGAAATTGTAGATCCATCTGCCTATTTTTCCGGTAATTCCTTTTGAGCGCATTTTATGTGCAATAACACTATGGTCACATTTATTAAAGGCTTTTGCAAAATCTGTGTAAATTACATCAGCGTTTTGTTTGTCTTCCATGGCATCTAATGCCATGTCATAGTACTCACCTATTTGTACTCACCTATTTGTGCTTGCGGGGATGGTCCAGCAACTGTGACAGGCAAGAGCGCCCTGTCCAGAAACCATGTTGTCCGGGGTTATGGAGATGCTGTGATTCCATATATTTTGTGATTTTACTTCTTAACACTCTCTCAAAGATTTTTTATGATGTGCGATGTTAGTGCTATCGGTCTGTAATTATTTGCCTCTGCCTTATTTCCTCCTTTATGGAGTGGTGCTATCTCTGCTGTTGTTAGTATGCCAGGGATAATGCCAGTATCTAGGCTTTGTCTCCACAGAATGTGAAGGGCCTACAATAGTGTTTTTTTACAGTTTTTGATGAATATGGAGTTCCAAGAATCAGGGCCTGGTGCAGAGTGCATAGGCATACTGTTTATGGCTTCTTCAAAATCCAGTGGGGATAGAGTGACATCTGATATACGATTTAATGTTGTATCATATCCATGAAAAATTCATTTGGGTTATCAATTTTTAGTGTGTTTAGTGGCTCGCTGAAAACTGTTGTACTGCTTCCTCAGTAACTTGCTCATTTCTTTGTTGTCATCGGTGAAAGTTCCATCTCCCTTTCGCAGGGGCCCGATACTAGATGTGGTTTTTGATCTTGATTTTGCATAGGAGAAAAAATATTTTGGATTTCTCTCTATTTCACTGATGGCCTTTTGCTCTCTTTGCCTCTCCTGGGTTTTGTATGATTCTTGTAGCTTGAGTTTAATTGTTTTTATTTCTCTACCTAACCTTCTTCACCGTTCTTGAGATAGGGTGAGACTCTCAAGTTGTTCCGTGATTTGTTTTCTTCCCCTATAGAGGGAACGACGTTCCTGTTCCAATCTGCATCTCTTCCTCTTTTTTTCAGGGGTATGCGGTTTAAGCATATTTCTAGTGCTACTGAGCTCATTTTTTCCAGGCACTGGTTCAGGTTTATATTTTGTAGCTGTTCTTCCCAGCTTATTTCTGTGAAGTCTTGGTTTATTTGCTTCCAGTTTATCTGTTTATTATTGAAGTTGAATTTGCTGAAATCTCCTCCACCGGGAATCGGGACTGGTTTTGAAGGTCTATTCCCCATGCTTGTCAGAACTTCAATTAAGTTGTGATCTGAGTAACAGGTATTTGTAATCATTATGTTCCTGATCAATTTATCATTATTGGTGAAAATGAGGTCCAGCGTGTTTTCCTTCCTAGTTGGTTCTACTATTTGCTGGTTTAAGGCAAACCTGTCTCACATCCATAGCAGGTCATTTGCATGTGCCTGTTCATTTAGGCAACTTCCTGGTATTCTTTCTGATATTACTGTATAAGCCAGATCCTTCCATTTCAGGTGCCGTAGGTTGAAGTCCCCAAGCAGGATGATGTTCGGGGCTGGATTTGTGAGGTTTTCCAAGCAGTGTTCTATTTTCATTAGTTGGTCTTGAAATTGTTGAGGGTTTGCCTCTGGTGACTTATATACAAGGACAATAACTACATTTAGGATCTCTATTTTGATTATCAGCACTTCCACCATATCATTTGAGGTGTTTAGCAGCTCAGTACAGATGAGTGTGTCTTTGATGTAGAGGCTTGAAGCCTGTGTTTCCTGTCACATCTGAAAAGATTGTATTCTGAGATCCGTATTTCATAATGCACAACTATATTCTACCCACTTCAAGACTCCGTACCAATATAGAAGCATCAAGAGGAAGTATGGGCCAATAGGCCCTTTGCAGTTATTTCCATTCTTCCCTCTCATTTATCCAATTTATGCCCATTGCACCGTGTTCTGTCTTGTGTTGGTCAAAAGTTTGTCCACCTCATCCAAAACTGTTGCAACATATCACCTCACCCAAAGGCGAGTATATAAGACAAGCGTTTCAATGTTAGTATTAAGTAAAACTCTTGTTTAGTGTTTTCAGGTTACAGTTGTGTGTGTGTAAACTAAAGTCTTTGAAAATGTAATAAGTTGTTACGAAACGTGCTCAAGCGTCACGTCAGACTAGAAATAAAAATGAAATTTGGAGAACAGACTTTTCAATTACCATCGACAGTAAAAAGAAACATAAGAAATAGTGAGAAAATTTGTGTTAGAATTATTAATCTTACTTTTTTGGTCATATTTAACATATGTTTACAAGAAAGACTGCTACCAAAATATACTAATATATATATATATATATATATATATATATATATATATATATATATATATATATATATATATATATATATATATATATATATATATATATATATATATATATAATATATATATATATATATATATATATATATATATATATATATATATATATATATATATATAATTTATATAATTTATATAATTTTTCCTTGTAGGTTGTAGAGTTTGGGAGTGTTACCAGTATGGGTGAAAACCTTGTCTCTCTCAAGTGGAATAACCACATGCCTACATTTTTTAACCTTCTGCAGACACTACGAGAAAAGGTAAGATATCATACATTTCATGGATAAATTGTGTCCATTTTCTGCATTTACTGGAGTTGGGACTTTTGTGTCAATAAATTGATCTAAACTGCATGCAGGTTTCCTGTCTAGGACCTATGACATAGGACCTAGGATCTAAGCAAGACATAAAGTTATCTAGCAAAACTGTTCAAAAGTACTATTCCGAACTGCTTAGTAACTAAAATTTTATTAATATGTTGGAAAGATGCCACATTAATTTGTCATTTCATGAAGGTTATCTAATTTTCAACACTTTATTTATTTATTTTATTTATGCATATACAAGAATGTACATAAGGAATGTGAGGATACAAATATGGTAATTACAGTCTTGTAAAGCCACTAGCACGCGCAGCGTTTCGGGCACTTGTGAATTGAACTAAACAATCTAATCAGCTGTGGGCCACAGGACTAACCACTCTGCAAGCCAGACGTGACAGGACTGATCTCGTCGAGACCCATTCAAATATTGAACAAGTTGCAGGATATTAATCCAGCCGATCTTTTTAAAAGGGGTCAAATTAAATACATAAAGAAGAAATAGCTTCAAGCTTTAACAAGCTAAAACCTAGGAAAGAAAATGGATTTTTTCATCCATAGGGTTATAAACCCATGGGAGTACAGTATCTACCTCCTCAAAGCTGTAAATTCTAAGACAATAATTCGGTTCAAAATTCAACTAGAAAAAAGGCCTCAGGAACAATGGAAGGCCCTTTGATAAGCCACCAGTGTCCTGTCCCTGTTGAGGCCATTCAAGATGGTGGCACACTAGTAATTTCAAGTGAATTTAGGTAAAACTTAGAAAAGTATGTACCCCTTCTCTGCCATTACCACTATTTAAAAAAGATTAATCTAACCTAACCCATCCTGGGATGGAATGGGATGGGATTTGATCCCATTATATCCCAGCCCATCCCCATCCCACCTAGCCTAACTCAATCTAACCCAGTTTTTCTTAGACCGACCGTCCCGCTGACCCACAGTAGGAAAAGAGCATTTCATTACATTCTTTGCTGGATTTTTATTATTGCAAGTATCTATTCAAATACACTGTAATCATTTTTGTGTTATCGTTGATTCAGATTGCACAAAGATTGTGGCAAATTCCCAATGTCATGATGATTCCCATATTTGTACTTTTTTTTTTTTTTTTTTTTTTTTTTTTTTTTTTTTTTTTTTTTTTTTTTTTTTTTTTTTTTTTTTTTGAGATATATACAAGAGTTCTTACATTCTTGTACAGCCACTAGTACGTGTAGCGTTTCGGGCAAGTCCTTAATCCTACGGTCCCTGGAATACGATCCCCTGCCGCGAAGAATCGTTTTTTCATCCAAGTACACATTTTACTGTTGCGTTAAACAGAGGCTACAGTTAAGGAATTGCGCCCAGTAAATCCTCCCCGGCCAGGATACGAACCCATACTTATACTTCCTGTGACATGCATTAATTCAGATGTTTTATTTCAAACTGTCCATTATTGTACAGGTATAAAGAAAAATTTTGTTATTTTAGTGGAGAACAAGCAAATGACGTGTTTTCATTAACATCTGCATGACCTTTCTATGCAGCATATTGTATTGTATTGTATTGATAGGCATCTGCATTGTCAACTCCTATTTTAACTTAAGCAAATCAGCTTGTAGGGCTTTGTCCATTGTTTACACACACACACACACACACACACACACACACACACACACACACACCTCGTAGGGGCCCCACACATAGGGGCCTCGTAGCCTGGTGGATAGCGCGCAGGATTCGTAATTCTGTGGCGCGGGTTCGATTCCCGCACGAGGCAGAAACAAATGGGCAAAGTTTCTTTCACCCTAAATGCCCCTGTTACCTAGCAGTAAATAGGTACCTGGGAGTTAGTCAGCTGTCACAGGCTGCTTCCTGGGGTGTGTATGTGTGTGTGGTGTGGAAAAAAAAGAAAAAAAAAAGAAAAAAAAAGTAGTTAATAAACAAGTTGATTGACAGTTGAGAGGCGGGCCGAAAGAGCAAAGCTCAACCCCCGTAAAAAACACAACTAGTAAAACACAACTAGTAAACACACACACACACGACAGAGTTCCACATAAGAGGTTGTTCTGGAAACTGGAAAATATTGGAGGGGTGACAGGTAAGCTTCTATCATGGATGAAAAATTTTCTGACTGATAGAAAAATGAGGGCAGTAATCAGAGGCAATGTATCGGAATGGAGAAATGTCACAAGTGGAGTACCACAGGGTTCAGTTCTTGCACCAGTGATGTTTATTGTGTACATAAATGATCTACCAGTTGGTATACAGAATTATATGAACATGTTTGCTGATGATGCTAAGATAATAGGAAGGATAAGAAATTTAGATGATTGTCATGCCCTTCAAGAAGACCTGGACAAAATAAGTATATGGAGCACCACCTGGCAAATGGAATTTAATGTTAATAAATGTCATGTTATGGAATGTGGAATAGGAGAACATAGACCCCATACAACCTATATATTATGTGAGAAATCTTTAAAGAATTCTGATAAAGAAAAAGATCTAGGGGTGGTTCTAGATAGAAAACTATCACCTGAGGACCACATAAAGAATATTGTGCAAGGAGCCTATGCGATGCTTTCTAACTTCAGAATTGCATTTAAATACATGGATGGCGATATACTAAAGAAATTGTTCATGACTTTTGTTAGGCCAAAGCTAGAATATGCAGTTGTTGTGTGGTGCCCATATCTTAAGAAGCACATCAACAAGCTGGAAAAGGTGCAAAGACATGCTACTAAGTGGCTCCCAGAACTGAAGGGCAAGAGCTACGAGGAGAGGTTGGAAGCATTAAACATGCCAAAACTAGAAGACAGAAGAAAAAGAGGTGATATGATCACTACGTACAAAATAGTAACAGGAATTGATAAAATCGACAGGGAAGGATTCCTGAGACCTGGCACTTCAAGAACAAGAGGTCATAGATTTAAACTAGCTAAACACAGATGCCGAAGAAATATAAGAAAATTCACCTTCGCAAATAGAGTGGTAGACGGTTGGAACAAGTTAAGTGAGAAGGTGGTGGAGGCCAAGACCGTCAGTAGTTTCAAAGCGTTATATGACAAAGAGTGCTGGGAAGACGGGACACCACGAGCGTAGCTCTCATCCTGTAACTACACTTAGGTAATTACACACACACACACACACACACACACCTATCCTAAGTATTTGTAGACCTCATCCTAGAAACATTCTTGTATCAACATGTTAAACAAGCTACGAGGATGCAGGAAAGGGTACGTTCCCTTCATGCTAGATTTGATATTTACCAGGAAGGAGGAAGAAATATTTGACATTCAGTACCTTCCTCCCTTGGGTAAAAAGTGACCATGTCTTTTTGGGAATAATGTATGCAATGCGTTATAATCTGGAAGAAAATAAGAAGGTTGATGCAATTGAAAAACCTGACTTTAGGAGAGGATGTTATGGCAACCTTAGAAAATTTTTTAGTGAGTATAATTGGACAGACTTGTTGCTAGGCAAGGGAGTGAATGAGATGTATGTCAAGTTTTGTGAAATATATGATAAAGGCACAAAAAAAATTATACCAAAACAGAGATGCAGAACTAGATAACAGGATTGGTTCAACAGAAATTGCGAGAGGGCCAGAGACCAAATTATTTTTTTCTGGGGGGAGCCCCTACGGCTCCTCGGCTATCCATGGCTGATATGGATACCCCCCTAACTATTTTGCATCAGTCGATGTGGGTGGAGTTCTAGGCCTACCAGGGACCACGAGCCAGAACCTGCCCCCCCTACTTTTCACAGAGGCACAAGGAGCAATGGCCTATAGAAATGTACATGTAATTTGGAGCATTCTATATCTGCCACCGACCTAGACAGGCACCCAGAAAGGTAGTTTGGGGCGCAGGTTAGCAGTGCCCTGCCTGGGATAATCCTTAGCAGACCCAGTCTAGGGGCCCTTAGAAAACCCTGCGGGGGCTCTCAGGTCCGATGGAGGAGACCCTTGCATCCCCTCTCACTTTGTGCGAGTTTGAGGGTTGCTCTGTTCCCTTGTCTCAGGGTGACACTCATTGTTTTTGCCTCCATCATGCTGCCTGTTGGGTCGGTGACACATTCGACCCTGAGTCCTGCAAGCTCTGTTGCTTGTTCGGGACTCAATTCACCAAGACTATTGATGATTTTCTTCGGGTGCAGGCAGCACGCTCGTTGCAGGATAGGTTTAAGTTATTGTAACGCGCTTCCCCGGTTGTCGTTTCCCTGGTTGTTGCTTCCCCGGATGTCCCGAGGCTGCCCCGATTGGCCTATAGGGATTCGGACTTGGGGGTGTTGGTCGCTTCGGCCTTGGTTCCATCCGCGCTCCCTCGTTCTTCCCTCTCGGTGGTTCCTTCAGTCCCCACCCCCTGCTTCTGGCCCCTAAGTGTCTGAGGGCTTTGGGGTTGGGGCAGGGTTTAGAGGTTTCTGAGACTTGGGTAGTTTTGGGGGTTGCCCCGTCCAAGGTGGCTGCAGAGGCATTCGAATCTGTTCCTCCTGCTGATGCTCCAGGGTCTGACCAGTGGGCCCCTTCCCTTCTGGCTCTATCGGCTGCCCCAGCTTTTTCTTGTGAAGCCAGGGCTTTGGAGGATGACTCGACCCCAGGGCCTGGAGTGGAGGTTCCCGGGGTTGGGGAGGAGCTGACTTGGGGTCCTTGGGCTGCATTGGACCCCGCCTGGATTTTCTGTCCTTCTGAGCAGGGCTTACTGTTGCAAGGAGGTAGAGTCTTCTTTTCCCCCCCTCTGTGTATGATTTGGACTTGGGTTCTGCTCCTTCCCGGGTTCGGTTCCGTGTCCCTGTGGATTCTTCGATTCCGTCCTTCCGGAGGTTTTCAGCTTCCCGCATCTCACCGCCTGAGGTGCGGTCAGCCATTGTGGCTTACCTCCTGTGTGACCCGGAGTGTGCCTCCATAATGGATCCTTCTTCGTTCAGATTTGGATCATCGTGTCCTTACTGGGTGCGTTATGAGGTTCCGGGGTCGTCCTGGCTTGCAGACTGCCCTTTGTTTTCGTTGGATGCTTGGGACTCATTCTGTTGGACCCGCACGTTTGAGTGGCGCGAAGCATTGACGGTGGTCCAGGTTTACCTGGGGGCCGATTTTGCGCATCTTAATGAGTGCCTTTTCACTCCTGCCCTTTTGCGGGATATTGGTGCAGTTCAGCTTCATGTGCAGGTTCCTTCCCTGTCAGCTGTGCTTGTGGCTGAGAACTTACGCGCTCGTGGCCTTTTAGCTTCGGTCCTGCATTTCTTTTCCCTCCCGGAACTGTCTTTGGATTGGCTTGCGGTGGATGTAGAGGCACTTGGAGCTGTTCCTAGGTCTGGTGCCTTAGTCTTGGCTGCTCTTTTGAAGCTGTTTGCGCCGATCCTGCGAGAGGCATTGCTACAGTTTTTCGCTGCGCGTTTTGCGTGTCGACAGGTGGTTCTCGCTTCCTCTTTGGAGTCCACTTGGACCCTGGTTCGTAGGTTGTCTTCTTTTTGTCCTCTGCTTTTTGAGTCCTCTGCGGTTGAGCGTTACTGTATATTCAGGCGGCTTCTTCCACTTGCCGCTCTGTCTGAATTGTTGGTGCTCCAGGGGAACTGGAGGGGGGGGGTTCCTTCCTGGCAGGGTCGTGCCAGGGCTCATGGTACTGTTCGTCAGGGTCGGCCACAAGTGTCGGGTTCGGTGCCGGTGCCACCTGCAGCCCCGCCTGTGCCTGGTCGGTGTGGTGTTTGCTCTGCTCGCAGGTCGGGTTCTCGTAAGGGGCAGCGGCCGTTTCGCGGTTTGCCCCATTGACGGGGCGGTGGGGGGGGGGAGGCTTGTACGCTCACGCCTGGTCTCATGATTTGTTGGCTTTTCAGGTCGTTTCTCTTGGCCTGCGGTGGCTCCTCCACCTTTGGGGGGTTCGAGGCTGACGGGGCAGGCTTTCTCTCCTGCTCTCTGTCGGGTCATCTTGGAGTGGGTGCGCTTGGGCGTGGTCGAAACGACGATGTCTCTCAGGTGGGTTTCTCGCATGTTCCCAGTTCCAAAACGAGACTGTGCGGACCTGCGGTTCATTGTGGACTTGTCCCGTCTGAACCCTTGGGTTTCTTGCCCCTCGTTTCGGATGACCACTCTGTCCAGGTCCGGCTTCTGTTGGAGCCGGGCGATTGGATGGTGTCCCTGGACCTCAAGGACGCTTATTGGCACGTCCCTATTCATCTGGGGTTCAGGGACTGGCTCGGTTTTGTTGTGGGGTGTTAGTGTTACTGTTTTCGTTGTCTCCCTTTCGGGTTGAATCTGGCGCCTCGCATGTTCACACGCCTTACCTGGGTCGTGGTGCCCCGTCTGCGTCTGTTAGGTGTTCAAGTGTTGGTTTACCTTAACGACTGGCTGGTTTGGGCTCCCAGTCGGTCCGTGTGTCTGCTCGCCAGGGATTTGGTGCTTTCCCAGCTGGCCGGGTTCGGGTTCCTGGTGAACTGGAGGAAGTCCCATCTGGTTCCCTCCCAGGTTTGGTCGTGGCTGGGTCTTGTGTGGGACTCTCGAACCACTTCTTTGTCTCATTTTTCAGAAAAATGCGTCTCCGAAAGATGCGGAGATGCATTTTTCCGCGGCTCCGCATCTTTCAGGAGATCGGCCCGGTCCGGTACAAGACTGGTTCGCTCTTCTCCACGAGTCTTCACGTTTGGTGTTTTTGACTCGTGTTTATCACCATCTCTATGGTGATCAGGTGGCTTCCTTGCTGGTTTCCCACCTGCGAGCTTTCTCTCGGCGGCCGTATGATGTCTCCTGGCTGTCCTTCTGGTTCTTTTTGTCCCTTTGTCGTTGCTCTTCGCTTTCGGTTCGGGTGTTGTTTTTTCTCTCCTGGTTGTTCCAGGACCATCATCTTATGCCTAATACTGTCGCCTTGTATCGTGCGGCGCTGACGGAGCTGCTGCAGCTTGCTTTCGGTATCAATGTTACTTCTGCACCGTTTCACAAACTGTCTCGTGCGTTGTTTCACCTCCGGCCTACTCATGCTCCACCTGCACCGTCCTGGTCTTTGGACAGAGTGCTCTCCTATCTTTCTTCTCCTCGGTTTGTTGTGGCCCCTTCGGTTCAGGATTATTTTACTAAAGCTCTTTTTTTTTCTGTTGGCATTAGTTGGTGGTCGTGTGGCAGAGCTTCATGCTCTTCTCCGGCGCAGAGGTTTTTGCTCTTTTGGTCATGGTCATAGGTATGTTAGTATACAGCCGTCTCCCTCTTTTCTGGCAAAGAATGAGACTGCTGCCTTCCGGAGGGGTCCTTGGGTTGTTGATGCTTGGTTTGTCAGGCCAAGCGTGCATCATGCGTTGTGTCCGGTTGCGGCCCTCCGCCATTATCTGCGCGCCACGGCTTCTGTGTCTGGGGATTCACTTTGGGTTGATCCGGTTTCCCTTCCCTATTCGCGGGTTTGGGTCTCTCAGGTGGTCCGCAGGGTAATTAAATCCAGCCAGCCTGCGGCCTATCCCTGTGCCCATGATGTTCGTAAATATGCTGCTCTTGCTGCCGTCTTTGGCAATATGTCTTGGGCTGACATTCGGGGACGAGGATTTTGGCGGTCGAACATGGTCCTGGCTGCACCCTACCTCGTGAACGTTCCTGGGCCCAGTTGGGCACAGTCGGGCCTGTGTTGCTTTGGGTCGGCAGTTGCAGCCTGTTGTCTCGACTTTGAGTTGAGGAGTGGAGCACCGACCACCTCCCAGGTAAGTCCCCTTTTCTTTTGTTGTCTTTGGTGAAGTAGCTCAGGGGAGCCGTAGGGGCTCCTCCCAGAAAACCAGCGTTGAATGTAATGAAATATCATTTTCTGGGTGAGTCCCGGAGGCTTCCCTGCAACCCTCCTGCCCTCTGGTTGGCGTTTTTTCACATTTTTTATATCCAGCCTCAGAACTGGGGTGGGGATCGCCGGCACGAGGGTCTGCACGAGGGTCTGAGCTGCACAGACATGCGCCACTGCACGTGTGACGTCATGCTTGTTTGCTCGTTTTTCTTTTGGAGAGTTCTATCCACTCGTTTGACGATTTTCGTTGTTAACCAGAATAGTTGTTTGTTTTGTGACGCTTACCTTTCTGGGTGCCTGTCCCGGTCGATGGCAGATATAGAATGCACCAAATCACATGTGCATTTCTATGGGCCATTGCTCCTCGTGCCTCTGTGAGGGGGCCAGGTTCTGGCTTGTGGTGTCCCTGGTAGGCCTAGAACTCCACCCACATCGACTGATGCAAAATAGTTAGGGGTATCCATATCAGCCATGGATAGCTCCGGGAAGCCTCCGGGACTCACCCAGAAAATGGCGTTTCATTACATTCAACTCTGGTTTTTTATTCCCCCAACACACACCCTCAAGAAGCAGCCTGTAACAGCTGTCTAACTCCCAGGTATCTATTTACTGCTAGGTAATAGGGGCATCAGGGTGAAAGAAACTCTGCCTATTGTTCCTCGCCGGTGCCGGGAATCGAACCCGGGCCATAGGATTATGAGTTCCCGCATGCTGTCCACTCAGCTTCGAGTGCCCTAGAGAGATTGTGGAAAGTGTAGAGAGATTGTATTGAGCACAAATGTATCTAGCTGTCAACAGGTTAAATCTTCTGAAGTTTTTATCCTAAATCCCAACTAGAGTGCAGAATTTTATTTGCTGACTGTATATTTTTCAGGGCTCTTATACGGATGTGACCCTAGCATGCGGTTCAAAGTTTTTTGCTGTTCATCGTCTGGTGCTGACGGCATGCAGTGACTTCTTCACCGAGATTTTCAAGGAAACACTTTGCAAAAAACCGATGATTGTGCTGATAGACATTAAGTGTCAAGAACTAGAAGCTCTGTTAGATTACATGTACCTAGGAGAGGCAGTGGTGCAACAAACAGACATCCCAGGGATTATTAAAGCTGCCGAGTGCCTCAAAATTAAGGGCTTGTCTGCTACTGATGAGGACCCAACCCAGTTTCTGAAACCAATGCCTCTGAGTGATGGGCAGCAGCCGGAAAAACGTCGCAGACGAGACCTGGGAAAAGACGCGGGCAACCAAGAAAGCACCAAATTACTCAGGAGGGAGAGCACTTGTTACAAAATACTGCCAGCTGACAATACAGCATCGTATATGCCCCATAGGACAAATAATATTCCGGCCGATGACAAGATAGAGGTGAACCGTAGTAAATGTGCCGTTCCACCAGCAAACGTTGAAGCCTCTCGCTTTACCGCTCCCGAAGCAGCGGCTGTCCAATGTTCAGACAGCATCGACGTGCAGCAGGGGCCAGATGTCTCCCCCTCCAAAACACACATGGCCCAAATGCACCACAATTCTCAGATGCTGCACAACATGCAGGCTCGTGACTTGCACTCGCAACCTGGACCACAAATCCACGAAGACATTGATATTCGTTTGGAAGACATTGCTGAAATAAAAATTGAAAATATTGAAATTGAAGAGGAAATAAAGAACAGTGTAATAAAAAGCGAAATATCACCGATCCAAAATGACCCTCTTAGCGAGTTGTTGATGGGCAGAGGAGACTTCTCTCACTCATTGTCTGTTGAAGAGAACCTTGCAAATCACGTGTTTCATCAAGCCCCAAAGGAGCATCTCATGCACCCTGTTTTACAACAAACCCCAAAGACCAACCTTGAACACCCTGTTTTTCAACAAGCCCCAAAGACCAACCTTGAACACCCTGTGTTTCAACAAGCCCCAAAGACCAACCTTGAACACCCTGTGTTTCAACAAGCCCCAAAGACCAACTTTGAACACCCTGTGTTTCAACAAGCCCCAAAGACCACACTTGAACACCCTGTGTTTCAACAAGCCTTGAAGGACAACCTTGCACACTCCATGTTTCATCAGGCCCCAAAGGACACCCTCACACACCCTGCGTTTCAACAAACCTCAATGGCAGGACCTTCAGAACTGAGCAGATTGGAGGTAAGTGTCCTTTGCTTTACGTTTAGCTTAAATCAAATCAAATCAAATGTTTATTCAGGTAAAAGTACATACATACAAGATGAGTTACAAACATAATGTTGGATTTCTAGATAAAGCTAGGACATACTATGCCTAAAGCCACTAATACACACAGCGTTTCGGGCAAGGTATGGGGGAAAAAAATGTGTGGGTGGGGTAGCTAGTTGAATATTTGTATGTTCAGTCACTGGGACCTGTGACAGTTTTTGTACATGTAATGTGGCCCTCTTGTCTGTTGAAATTAAATAGTGTATAGAGTATAATACTTTGAAATTTAAATAAAGTTACCATTGTAAAAGATGTTCACCATTTATCCCTGTAATTACAAATACAGTATGCTAAAAGATACAGCATTATTAACCCTCTTACTGCTCCAGTCTTGTTAACCCTTACACTGCTCCGATCTTGTTAACCCTTACACTGCTCCAATCTTGTTAACCCTTACACTGCTCCGATCTTGTTAACCCTTACACTGCTCCGATCTTGTGTAAGAGTTAACAAGATTGGAGCAGTGTAAGGGTTAACAAGATTGGGGCAGGTAAAGGTTAAAGCAATACTTGAACATTTTTAATTGCCAGGGATCGTTTGTAGAAGGTGTTGACTGGTTTAAAGGGTTTGTGTGTGCCATAGTACATGGTTACCTCAGGGCTTATCTTGAGGTTATCTTGAGATGATTTTGTGGCTTTAGTGTCCCTGCGGCCCGGTCCTCGACCTGGCCTCCACCCCCAGGAAGCAGCCCGTGACAGCTGACTAACACCCAGGTACCTATTTTACTGCTAGGTAACAGGGGCATAGGGTGAAAGAAACTCTGCCCATTGTTTCTCGCCGGCGCCCGGGATCGAACCCGGGACCACAGGATCACAAGTCCAGTGTGCTGTCCGCTCGGCCGACCGGCTCCCTACAATTGCGTAAGTTGAAGAAACAGGCAGGAGTAACAGGTAAGGTTCTCCTGTGGATAAGAGAGTACCTAAGCAATGGAAAACAGTGAGTCATTGTGAGGGTGAAAGATCACAGAATGGGGAGATGTCACCAGCAGAGTCCCACAGGGTTCTGCACTTGAACCTCTCCTGTTTCTGATATACGTGCATGATCTTCCAGAGGGTATAGATGCATTCCTCTCAATGTTGGCTGATGATGCTAAAATTATGAGAAGTATTAGGACAGGAAGCGAGCAAGAGGCTACAAGACAATACCGACAATTCCACATTAACATTCCTCATAACTGAAAGGCTAATAATCCTAATTAGTGTTAAATAAAAGTATTGAATCTTGGCATAGTTACAATAAGAAATAAAAAAGTCTTAATTTTTGTTTTTGTTGTAATATGGGGTAACTGGAATAAATATTGAAGCCGTACAATAAGGAAACTGATACACTACCTTGCATGAAAACAAGGCAAATGATCACGCTGCAAGGAAACTATCCTACTCTGATGTGCTCGACTGCCACCAGATTGCAACTCGGGGTTACCCTGAGTCTCGGTCAGCCACCCGCCTCACTCACAAGCTGCCAGAGCAGAACCCACCTATTCATTTACAGGGAAAATAGGAATCAGGGTGACAACCAGAAGTTGCAAAGTAGTCCACTAGAAAAGAGTGCTACACCCAGTTGAGCCTCAGAAGAGGTGGCCTGCTTTTCTGAAAGGGAAACAAAAGGTTATTGAAAACAGAAGAGACGGACAGGGTTTACTCGTGAGAGGTGATGGCAGGAGAGCAGGATCTTGGGCAGAGGATTATCAGCTGCATGCCAAATGCAGACACCAACCAGAGTTACTACGGCCTCCCACACACCATGATATGTGTCCGCTGTTGGTAAGGAAGGACTTCTGTCCCCTCCCTAGCATAGTGAAAGCTGGAGGTGAGGCTCCAGGCGATGTCTTGACACATGCATGGAGGTTCCACCAGCAGGTAACCACCAGCAGGTAACTCTGGGGGCTCAAGGGAAACACAAGCTGTGACTACTAAGGAAGGGAACCATGGCATAGTCTCATTGAGATACAAACCCAGGACACACACACGATGTTGCATCGCATGACTGTGATGCAACAAACAGTCATGAAACATAAAGGAAACGAAGCAAAAAGCAGTGACTTTTCATGGAGCTGATGTTCGTGTGAAGAAAAATACCAACCGGCTGAAAGCATGAAGAAGTGGGCAAGACCCCATCAGAGATCAAGATGGTGTCTATTGGGGGGTTATACCACCCCCATAACTGGGGGTTGTGGGGGGTTATATGTATTGGGGGTTAAGCCCCCTAATATATGTGCAGGCCAAGAGAGGTAGGTGCACACCAGATACTCATCAGTAGAGTGAGTAAGGTGCAGAGCTGATCAGGACCCCAGGAGGGTGACCTGTGTCACAATGTACACCAGGCGAGTAAGGTGCAGAGCTGATCAGGACCACAGGGGGTGACCTGTGCTACAATGTACACCAGGTGAGTAAGGTGCAGAGCTGATCAGGACCCCAGGAGGGTGACCTGTGCTACAATGTACACCAGGTGAGTAAGGTGCAGAGCTGATCAAGACCCCAGGGGTTGACCTTTGTCACAATGTACACCAGGTGAGTAAGGTGCAGAGCTGATCAGGACCCCAGGAGGGTGACTTGTGCTACAATGTACACCAGGTGAGTAAGGTGCAGAGCTGATCAGGACCACAGGGGGTGACTTGTGCTACAATGACCCACACCAGGTGAGTAAGGTGCAGAGCTGATCAGGACCCCAGGGGTTGACCTGTGCCACAATCGACTGGCACCCAGGTGCAATGACAAGATAGTTTGCCCACACCAATGATTTTATTGCTATGTTTATATCAGGATTGCTGTTTCCTTTCACATAGTCACCAGTTTTGTTATGACATATATATGTATATATATCTAGTTTTTTTTTGGTTTTTGGGTAGATCTCTGATCACCAGGCTTCCCTCGCCTCGTAGAGCGAGTCAAATCCTGGTACGGGCTCCCGGTAGGCCAGGGTTTCTCTCCGGTGTAACTTTTTAAGACTTAATATTACCAATGCTTATGCTTGGGAAGATACTGAGGAGCCCTCCAAGAAAAGCAAATCCTTCAAATGATAGCAAAATAGGTAATAACAAGCCTGAGCCTTGTCCTTAAACAACCGTTTAAGGACAAGGCTCAAACCCCCCCAATATACCATTGGTTGTAATCCTAGTCCACAGCTAAACATTTAGGCTTTACACTGTCTGCAGGTTGATGACCTGCGGAGGTTGAGTGAGCCCATCAAAAGCTTGCTAAAGGCCAACCGCGTGTTGGCTGTTCAGCACGACCAGTTTGGTAGCCGCTGTGCGAGACTATCTTTACAAGCCGGGCGGGTGTGTCTCCACACACTCCTGCATCACCGCCTACCCACGCACACCCACACCCTCCAGGTTATTATACGACGCTTTTAGTCTTGAGATGATGACGGAATAAATATGGCGCCTGGCTGTGACTGTCAGGTAGGCTGCTACATTATTAATAAGAAATGAAAAATACAAACCAAATTGAACAAATATGAAAAATAGAAAAAAAATTCATAATGGCACATCCTACCTGACAAACACTGAACGCACCTTTATGACATTTTTCCTTTTTTCAAATTTGTTAAATGGAGCTGCCTACCTGACAATCACTGAATAAACCTTTATGACATTTTTTCTTTTTTGTCAAATTCTATCAATTTTTCTGGGGGGAGCCCCTTTGGCTCCCCAGAGCTTACTGGGCTGATATGCTAATGTCAGACTTTGGCATCAGTCATGTGTATGGAGTTCAATGGGCCTACCGGGGACCACGAGCCAGAACTCCCCATGCCCCCCTCAGTGAGGCATGGGGAGCAATGGCCTATAGAAACCCTCGTGTGGTTGAAAGCATTCTATGTCTGCCATTGACCAGGTCAGGCACCCAGAAAGGTAAGCGTCCCGAAACAAACCCCTATTCTGGTGAAAACATTGCTACCAAAAGCCACACAAATGGATAGAACTTCCCTAAACGAAACTAGCAAATGATCATGACGCTATACATCGCCGCGCTGCTGTCTGCCCAGCTACCCCCTCCCCGAGAGGAGGAAGGGGAAGCCCCAGACCCCAGACGGCAGCTAGCCACCCTTCAGTTCTCAGGCTGAAGCTAGAGGCGGAGGTCGTGTGCTTGACTACGGAGTTTTCAACACTGTGCTTAGAGTGTGGTGGCTGTCTTTGAGGGGTACGAGAGCCAGGAGTTATTCTATGGTACTCGGGCTGCATGTGCCTAGGGTTATCGTTCCTAGGTGCCCTGTAAGTACTGCCCTTGGGGCTTGGAGTCACCTTCCATAAGCTCCTCGGGACCTGCCTCTGCTAGACCGTATTACTGCTCGGTTTTTCGGCCGCCCTTTGGGTGCTTGGGGTTTTGTCTTACTTGTTTACCTTAGGGTAAGAGGCAGTTTGCACTGGTGGGGATGCAGGGTGCTGCGCAGCTTGTTTTCACCACTCACAGCGGCCGGCTCTGTTCATTGGGGTACGTTGTCCTCTTGCGGGGATTTGTTTTTCTTTTTCTCTTTGCCTTGTGGGGATGTCCGCCTTGCTTCTTCCCTTGTGCCTGACCTGTGCACGGTTCTTTTCTGGTGTAGCCCCCTGCTAGGTCCCAGTGAGTGTACACATCCCTAGGGTTCAGCTTTTAGATTGTGGTTTGGTAGTTGTGGGCGCCGGTTAGCAGTACCCTGCCTGGGATTACCTGAGCGTGAGTCCCTGTTGGTATACGCTCAGGCCCCATTGAATCCCCTAGGGGGCGCGTGGGTCTGATGGATGTGTCCCCGGAGTCCCCCCTCAACTTGTGCGAGTTCGAGGGTTGCTCGGTCCTCTTGACTCAGGGTGACCCTCACTGTTTTTGCCTCCGTCACGCTGCCTGTTGGGTCGGTGACACTTTCGACTCTGAATCCTGCGAGTTCTGTTGCTTGCTGGTGACTCAATTTACCCAGTCTACTGATGATCTTCTACGGGTACAGGCGGCGAAGGCATTGCATGTACGCTTTTGGCTGTTAAAACGACTTAGATTTGGTGTCTGCCCCTCCCCGGGTTCGGTTCTGTGTTCCTCGGGTGCGGCAGTTCCGTCTTTCCGGAGGTTTTCGACTTCCCGCATCCAACTGTCTGTGGTGTGGGCGGCCCTAGCGGCTTACCTCCTGCGTGACCCGGATTATGCCTCGGTGATGGATCCATCGTCTTTCAGGTTTGGGACTTCGTTCTCTTTCTGGGTCCATTACGAGGTTCCGGAGTCGTCCTGGCTGACGGACTGTCCTATTTTTGCCTTGGAGGCATGGCATTCCTTCTGTCATTCCAGCACACTTGAGTGGTGCGAAGTTTTGACTGTGGTTCAGGTGTTCCTGGGGGGCGACCTTGAGCACCTCAATGAGTGCTTGTTTGCTCCAGCCCTTTCCCAGGATGTTGGCGTTCTGCAGCTCCATATGCAGGTTCCCTCCCTTTCGGCTGTGCAGGTGGCCGAGGATTTGTGCACCAGGGGCCTCCTGGCTTTGGCCTTGCGCTTCTTTTCCCTCCTGGACCTATCTTCGGACTGGCTTGGGGAGGATGTGGGGGCGCTCAGGGCCGCTCCGGGGTCCGTTGCCTTGGGCTCGGCAACTCGTGCGTCGGCTGCCTTGTTGAAGCTTATTGCATCGATCTTGCGGGATGCAGTTGGCCAGTTTTACGCTTCCCAGCTTGCATGTCGACAGGTGGTCTTGCCTCATCTTTGGAATTGGCCTAGGGCCCTGGCTCTTAGGATGTCTTCGCCCTTTTGTCCTCTGCTTTTTGCTTCTGTGGCCGTAGCGCAGTACAGTATATTCAGGCTGCTTCGGCCAGTTGCCATCCGATGTCAGACTTGTTGGTTCTCAAGGGTTCCCGGGAAGGCCTACCCGGAGGGGTCGTGCCAGGGCTCGAGGTTCCTCTCGTTGTGGTAGGCCACTGGCGCCAGGTTCGGGCTTGGCTCTGCCTTCGGCTGGTTAGCGCGGTGTTTGCCCTGTGCGGGGTTCTGGGTCTCATAAGGGGAGCTGGCCCTTTCGTGGTTCACCCCATTGACGGGGCGATGGGGGAGGCTTGCACTGTTCGCTCACGCCTGGTCCCACGATTTATGGGCATTTCCTTCGGCCTGCGGTGGCATTGGGTGGCCCCCCTTCCTCCTTTGGGGGGGTTCGGGGCTGAAGAGGCAGGCTTCTTCTCCTGCACTTCGTCGAGTTGTCTTGGAGTGGGTTCGCTTGGGCATCATCGAAACGACGTCGTCCCTCACATGGGTTTCCCGTCTGTTTTCAGTGCCGAAACGGGACTGCGGACCAAAGGTTCATTCTGGACGTGTCCCGTCTGAACCCCAGGGTTCATTACCCCTTTCGTATGGCTACGCTGTCTCAGGTTCGGCTCCTGTTGGAGCCGGGTTCTTGGATGGTGTCCCTGGACCTCCGGGACGCTTATTGGCACGTCCCAATTCATCCGGGGTTCAGGGACTGGCTTGGTTTTGCTGTGGAGAGTCGAGGTTACCGCGTTCGTTGTCTCCCGTTCGGATTGAATCTGGCACCTCGCGTGTCCACACACCTTACGCGGGTCGTCGTGGTCCCTCTGCGTCTTCTACGTGTTCTCGTGTTGGCCTACCTTAACGACTGGCTGGTTTGGGCTCCCAGCTGGTCCAGTTGTCTGTTAGCCAGGGGTTTGAGTCTTTCCCAGCTCGCCGGGTTCGGGTTCTTGGTGAACTGGAGGAAGTCCCATCTGGGTGCCCTCCCAGGTTCGGTCGTGGCTGGGTCTTGTGTGGGACTCTCAGACCGCTTCCTTGTCTCTTCCTCTGGAGTCTCTCCTCCAGCTGCAGTCCCGCTTGCGCCTGTTTCTGAGGGGCTCCCAGGTCACCCGACGGTTGCTCGAGGGTTTGTGCGGGAGCTTGAACTTCGCGATGTTGGTCTACGCGCCAGGTCAGGTTTGGCTTCGTCGGCTGTTCTGGTTCCTTCGGGAAAATCCCTTCCGCCTCTCTCGCGATCGCCGGGTTCGACCCCAGGGGGCTTTGCGTCGGCTGCTGTGTTGCCAACTTCCTCTTCGGTTTTTTCAGGGTTCGGTGCCTTGGCGCCTGCCCGAGCCCTCGCTCGATGTGTTCCCGGACGCGTCATCTCTCGGCTGGGGCTTTGTGACCAGCGCTCACCAGGCCGGCCAGGGGTGGTGGGGTCCGTCCTTCCGTGGAGCTCACAGTATGGTGCGGGAGTTCACGGCGGTGTGGTTTGCACTTCGGAGGATTTGGGTCTCTCATGGGTCGACAATCCGGCTCCATTCGGACTGCTCCCAGGTGGTTCATTGCCTGAACCGAGGGGGTTCGATGCGGTCATTGGCTCTTTGGGGCTCACACTCTCTCACACCCCAGAAGTGACTCGAACCCATACTCCCAGGAGCAACGCAACTGGTATGTACAAGACGCCTTAATCCACTTGACCATCACGACCGGACAAAATGAGGTGATAGCCGAGGCTATTTGAACCACCCCGCTGCCGGCACTCGGATAGTAATCTTGGGCATAGCATTTTACCAAATCACCTCATTCTTTGGGGCACACGTGAGGAACACAAATGCGAACAAGCCTGAATGGTCCCCAGGACAATATGCAACTGAAAACTCTTAACTGGATTAAGGCGTCTTGTACATACCAGTTGCGTTGCTCCTGGGAGTATGGGTTCGAGTCACTTCTGGGGTGTGAGTTTTCAGTTGCATATTGTCCTGGGGACCATTCAGGCTTGTTCGCATTTGTGTTCCTCACGTGTGCCCCAAAGAATGAGGTGATTTGGTAAAATGCTATGCCCAAGATTACTATCCGAGTGCCGGCGGTGGGGTGGTTCAAATAGCCTCGGCTATCACCTCATTTTGTCCGGTCGTGATGGTCAAGTGGATTAAGGCGTCTTGTACATACCAGTTGCGTTGCTCCTGGGAGTATGGGTTCGAGTCACTTCTGGGGTGTGAGTTTTCAGTTGCATATTGTCCTGGGGACCATTCAGGCTTGTTCGCATTTGTGTTCCTCACGTGTGCCCCAAAGAATGAGGTGATTTGGTAAAATGCTATGCCCAAGATTACTATCCGAGTGCCGGCGGTGGGGTGGTTCAAACAGCCTCGGCTATCACCTCATTTTGTCCGGTCGTGATGGTCAAGTGGATTAAGGCATCTTGTACATACCAGTTGCGTTGCTCCTGGGAGTATGGGTTCGAGTCACTTCTGGGGTGTGAGTTTTCAGTTATATATATATATATATATATATATATATATATATATATATATATATATATATATATATATATATATATATATATATATATATATATATATATATATATAATCACTGTTTCTCTCATTCTCACTGTAAATGAACATGTAATATACACACCCAGCAAACACAAACATAACCACAATGTTAATTGTTGTTAATTCATGTCACATTGTAACAATACTGTGGATATGTTATGTGTAATGAACAGCTGAAAAATGTTGAAAAACTCTCTAGAAAACAAAACTACCATTTCAAACTTCAAAGGAGTTCCTGGAAGTCACACCAGGATCCAATTCTTCTTAAGAAGGGGTAACTGGGGTCTTCCCGTACCTGCCTATGTCAATCCCTTACCACCCATGTGTGTCCCTGAAAAGTTTGGTGAGGTTAGAGACATAGATATAAATTAATAATTTTAATGATAAACTTGTTAACATTTTTATTTGTCCTCAGCACAGTGATGTTATGGGCTTGCTGGACCCGTCCTCTACCCTGGCGTTCCTTGACTTATGGTGGGCGGGGTCAACAAGAGGGCAGGTCATGATCCGCCTGTCTCCTGACACAGGGCTGGCCAGACAGTTTGTGTTGTTGTGTACGGGCCAGCGGGGCCATACATATCAGAAAACAAAACTGTTTCTGGTTTGGCCTAAGGATCAGCCGGGGGAGTGCGTGGTGGGTGGAGACTACGAGGCTAATGACGGCCGAGGAGGAGCCCCGCTGCTAGCCAACCTGGAGGGGCAGTACCGGATGTCGGGAAAGGCGGGGACCGTGTGGTCACCCTGGGCGCTGGGGAGTGCCCAGTGTGCCCAGTTCTTCATTAGCACCAGGGAGCTCCCCGATGGTCAGCGTCGGCCACACATCTTCGGTGAGGTGGTTAGCGGCCTGGATGTGGTGAGAGCGGCAGCCAGCCTCGGAGACATCACAGACGTGACTGTGGTGGACTGTGGCATTGTGATACCACTGTAGCACTTACGCTGTGGCACACTCTGAGAAAATATGCAAACGAGCTGAGCACTCCATATAATTTATATTCCAGACACCTTTTTTGTACAGGAATCTAACAGATATATGCAAAAAGGCAAACATAGTTCCAGTCTACAAAAATGGTAGCAGGGAAGACCCCTCTAAATTATAAAGCCATATCATTGATAAGCATGGTAGTCAGAACACTAGAAAAGATGTCTGGCCTGGGTCAAGGAGCCACCATTTCTGGCCTGAGTTAAGGAGCTACAGTGTCTGACCTAGTTTAAAAGAGCCACTATTTCTGACTTGGGTTGAGGTATACTGCTCAAAATTATAACATTTTGATAACGAAGTCCTACCTGAGCTCCTATTTTCTGGGGGGAAAGCCCCTTGTGGCTCCCTGAAGCTAAGTCACTGAAACAGCTCCCAATGACCAGGTGGCATCAGCCGCAGAGTTCTTAAGTCTCCTGGAAACCAGAGCCAGAACCTGGGGCCAGATTCACTGAGCAGTTACGCAAGTCCAGTATCCACTCGATTTAATGGCCTCTTAAATACTGATCTGCCGGTAATAACGACCAGTTTGGGAGACCGGTATCTGGAGCCTCGTATACCGGTCTGGCAGTTGATATAACCGTAGGTCGGTATTGGGTTTGTTTCGATATCTGCGGGCCCCTCACAAGGCAACAGGCCACCGTCTTCCAAGGCATTGAGGGGGAGAGTGTTGGTGGTGGTGTGGGAGGTAGTGTGTTGGTAGTGAGGAAGGCAGTGATTGATGGAGAGAGGCATTGGGGAGGAGAGTGTTGGTGGTGGTGGTGTGGGAGGGAGTGTGTTGGTGGTGGTGGTGAGGGAGGCAGTGATTAATGAAGGAAGGCATTGAGGGGGAGAGGCAGGGAGTGTTGTTGGTGGTGGTGGTGGTAAAGGAGGCGGTAAGGGAGGCGGAGGGAAGAATTGCTGACCAGGCAATGGTTGCCAAACCTCTCACCCATACTGTATTAAAATTTGTAATCTCAGTTGTAAACTATTTATGCCAAAATATGTTAATTTTTGTATATTACTATACATTATTAATCATTAACATGTTTTATGGTTTCCTATTTATTAATTAAACAAATATAGTTTTATTTACTAATTATGCACAGTTGGCATCTGCGAGCAGGCGCTGACAGACATGTCCGCCTCTACGCCTAGCCTCGACCCCGTTAGTAGCTCCCTCCTCCATAGCCTGGTGTTCTCATGTTATGAGGAAGGCAGTGAGGGAGGGATGGCAGACATTGAGGGAGAGATGGAAGGCAATGATGTCGGGATGAGAGGCAGTGATGGAGGGAGGCATTGAGGGGGAGAGGCAGGGAGGGATAGAAGCAGTGAGGGTGGGAGGGAGGGTGGTGGTGGTGAGGAAAGAGTGGGGGTGAGGGAAGAGTGGGAGTGAGGGAGAGAGGGAGGTGTTTGGTTAATATGGTTCACTTCTTGTGTGGTCCACTTGTCCACTTGTGTGATCCAACTTGTCATATTAAGGAATTATTAATTGTAACCTGTGATAGAATGGGCACTAACACAGGAACTAATGTGGAACACAATTACATAATGAACTTTATTTCATTTTAGTTATATAAAATATATCTTACCTGAATGTTACTCAAAATATTACCGACACTTCAACAACTTCGGAAATACCGGAGCCCCAGAAATAACGACCTGGGTACAGCCCAATATAGGCTGTTAAATCGAATGGATACTGTCCTTACGAACGTGTACATCTTTCCTCAATCTTTGACGGGTTTGGTTACATTCATTAACCACTGTACTGCCCAAAGTGCCTTTAGGCACTCTGAGAGTTGTGCAATTTTCTTTTAATTAGGCTATATTTTAATGATTTTTAATGTATTCATTACTCTTTGTGTTTTGAAATGGAAATAGTTGAGTTTGGAAACATTTTGACATTCACTTTACCTGAATATATATAAACACAATAAAAATATGTCTTTGACAATGGCACTAAGACGTTTTTGCTGAAACCAGGTGCAAAGTGCAGGGGATAAACAGTTTACAAGCATGAAAACTTCCCAACCAACTGTTGTTGTTATAAACAGCCTCCTGGTGCTTCCGAGTTCATTAACTATTTAATACTGTAATTGTAAACAAAGCCGGCAAAGATTGAGAAAAGGTGTACAGGTTTGTAAATGCTTGTGTAACTGCTTCGTGAATCTGGCCCTGGACCCCTCAAAGAGGCACAGGGAGAAGATGACAAAACATTACCTCACTGTGTATGGCTCTCTTTCCAGTCTTAAAATGGGATTCTACAGAGTTCGTCTTCATTCACGATATTTTGGAGCCGAACCGGTACATCCTTTTCCCTACTTTTCGAATGAACTTTCTCCAAGTTCGCCTGGTTTTTAAATGGGACCACCTGGATGACCATACTGGATCTTTGAGACATGTATTGGCACATCACTATACATCTAAGATTTAGGGATTGTCTAAGTTTCATGGTGAGGCATCTAACTTTTCCACTTTTGGATTCTTCCCTTTTTTTTTTGGTCTGAATGGCCATCTGGTATACAGTGTCATGGTGCTCCTTTTGCCACTTTCTTTTCCTTCATCGTTTTTTCTATGGTTTGTGAGCATGTGGTGCTCTCCTTTCTTTCGTGGCATTTTCTTGATCGGCATCTTATGCTGAATACTGTCGCCTCATGTTGTGCAGCATTGACAGAGCCGCTACAGTTTGGGTTCGGTGTCAATACTGCCATTTCGCAAGTTGTATCGCTCGTAGTTTTACCTCTGGCCTGCTCATACTCCACTTGAGCCCAATTTGTCTTTGTTCTGTTTTTTCCTGTCCTCTTCTTGGTTTATGGTGACTCATTCAGTCGAGAATTTGTTTTCTAAGGCTCTCTTTTTGGTGGCTCTTGACTCCAGTTGTAGGGTCAGGGAGCTTCATGCTCTCCACCAGAGGAGAGCATGAAGAGCACTCCATTTGTTCTTTTGGACCTGGTGAGGGTTTTATTCATTTCCAGCCGTCTCCTTGTCTGGCGTAGAATAGTGGAGTAGAATAAGTCGGCTGGACTTTGAAGGGGTCCTCTCGTTATTGATGGTTGGTTTGGCCAGAGGTGCATCATGTGTTGTGTGCGGTGGTGATTCTGCCGCTACCTTTGTGTTGTGCCACTGACTGCTTAGGTGGATGCTTTGTGGGTGAATCTGGTGTCCTTGGTTCCCTATTCCAAGGATTGTTTCTCAAGTCACCTGCAGTGTTAAGTCTAGCCAGCCTGTGGTCTACCCTCATGTCCATAAGGTTTGGAAGTGTGCCAATTTGGCGGCTGTCTTGGTAAATATGTCTTGGATTGATATTCATGCACAGGGGGAGTATTGGTGGTCTAGAAGGGGTGTGGCAACCGGTATTTAGTTAATGTTCCTAGGCCTCACTTGCTTTGTGTGGGCCATTAGTCAGGTCTCTCAGTCGTGATTCTCAACCTTGTCTTGGTTGTCTGCAGTGCTACCCCGCCTGGTAAGTCTCTGTATTTTCTCCTTTTCCGTGGGTATTTAGCCTCAGGGAGCCACAAGGGACTACTCCAGAAATCTAGTGATGAATGTAATGAAACACCAGTTTCTGGGGTGAGCCCCGGAGGCTCCTCGATTCCCTTCCTTCCAGGTCATCGGGCATGGGTTGTGTGTGCATATGCCCAAGAACTGAGGGCTGAAGCCCCCCTGGAAAGGCCTGGGATCCTTCCTCCTTCCCCTTTCCAGACGAGTGCAGGAGGGCAAGGCGAACGAGCACACTCTAGTTTTGTCTGATTCGATTGTTTACAGAGTTGGGAGGAGTTCATTAGGTAGGTTGCGAAGCTTCACTCTCCTTAGAATCCAGCTGTAGTCTCCTTAGAATCCAGCTGTAGTCTGTTTTGGTTTGCAGACTTTCTGGCTGCCTTTCCTGGTGAGGTGACGGTTTGTCATCTTCCTGTGTCTCTTTGAAGGGGGGACAGGTTGTGGCTCTGGTTCCTAGTAGGCCTGAGAACTCTGTGACAGATGCGATGTGGTATGTAATTGGGCACCATCTCGGCGAGATAGCTTCAGGGAGCCACTGGAGGCTCGCCCGAAAGTTGGTGTCTCATTACATTCAACGCTAGTTATTTGTATCGTTACTATTTGTCGTTTTACAGTATTTATAAGTCTTAGCAGTGAAGTACAGTACTGTGTATGTTAAACGACGTTGTTAGGAGGGAACGACAGCACGCTTGTTGCTGCTAAATCTGATTTGCCTATGGTTTGGTGACTGACATTTCGTGTTATAGTTCAGCAAGGTTGCAAGGTGATTGACTGTAACTGCACGAGTGAACTAACAGCTGAGACAAGGTAGCAATGACCAGCCTCAAAGGTGAGGTATATTATTTTTTGGTAAATAGGACATATGATTTTTTTTTTGCCCAGAACTATCCAATACTGTATATAAAATATATAATAATATATAATAATATATTGTATTTACATGAACAATATCATGTTTTCACCCACAAAGCCACATCAAAATTAATGTTAGTAAATATATATATATATATATATATATGATTAAACATATAAAAAAAAAGTGGTTTTGTCCACAAAATAAGCCTGTAAAATAGGTGCATCTTTATAAATAGGAAAATATGGTAATTGGAGGTTTGTCTTGGAAACTAGACTCCAACACCTGTGTTGTTGTGTCCTCACACAATTGCTGTGTCCTCACACAAGATTTAATGACCCATGACGAAATCTGTAATTGTTTGCGTATAATAAACCTGTCTAGGCTTTTGTCTGCTTTGCACACAAGCCCTGGAGAGGAAGTTTGGTTATAAGCCAGTAAACTTATGTACAGTGTGTGTGTGTATGTGAAATCTTTTAAATGAACCTAAATATGTATGATATTTTACAAATTATAGTCATTGTTATACAAAACAAATATACATAGAAAAGCCAAAAGTGAGTCTATTATTGCACTGTGTGTATGGAGTCATATTGGTGTTACAGTACCTTGAATTAACCTGCAAGTGTCACTGTTAATGTGGCCATTCATATTTCCCATTAAAGTGTTCCTTATTCAGATTTCTACCCAGTCATTCATTCCTCAATTCATGCCTGTTGGCAGGATTGTTGGTCATCTGTTACTGATAACAAACTGCGTGCTCTTTAGGGCAGCCTGTGCCCTTCGCCGTTCTCATATCACCGTAACCAATGGGAAAATTCTCTGGCTAGGTTATGTATTAGCTACATGTGTTTAACTCATGGGCACTTAACACTTAAGCATTTTGGGCGTGCAAATATTTCTCCTACCCTAGCGATTTTGGATGTTCCGCGGGAGCTCGCGGGAGCATGCGGTAATACTGAAAAGTGACTCTTTTCAACTTTGTCGCCTAATAATACAGTCATCTTAGCTTTTAGAATGTAATACAATCATCTTAGGTTTTCCAATTTTATATCAATGTATTCGCAATAGAATTCTCTACACGATTAAATGCATGTGAAGTCCGAAAGCCCGGCGTACCACCCGCACAAAGCAGACAAAGTGAGAGAGAGTTACCCGGGAGCGCTAAAGAGCAATGAAATGTGTACACTCTTTTCACTTTGGTCACCTCAATTCTCGTCTTAGGTCTTTCATCTTTTTATCATTTTGTTCGCAATAGAATTCCCTACAGGTGTATATGTAAATATAAAGTTCAAAAGCCCAACGTACCACCCACAGCAAACAGAGAAAGTGACGGGGCGTTACCCCAGTGAACGTTAATAAAGAGCAATAAAATGTGTTTACTCTTTTCAACTTTATTACCTCAACTCTCGTCCTAGGTCTTTCATTTTGGTATCAATGTGTTCGTAATAAAAATCCCTACAGGTGTATATGCATATAATGTCCAAAACCTTGGTTTTCACAAAATCAAATGTTTTTAATTTTTGATGCCATCCTTAGTCATCAGTGGGTATTGAACTAATAAACTTTTGACTCCATACTTCGTCATCGGTGGGCGAAAGTGTTAATTAATGGAGCTGCTCCTTCTCCGAACCGCATGGTTCCTCTTACGGTCGTGCATCTCCTTGTTAATTGTCCTTATTTTCAGGATGTTTGTGTGTCTCTTGCTTCCTGACTGTCCCTCACAGTCGTTTGTCCCTCAAAAGAATCCTTGGCGAGTCTGATACCTTGATATCCCTTCCCTTATGTGCTTTTGTACTAATTTTGTCATCTGTAAGTGATATTTAGCATTTTTTAATCTTCTGCGACTTTGATGGTGCTACATAGTCTGCCACGGCTTAGTGCCGCCTTTTGATAATTACTTACTTCCCATACAGGGGTTCCTTATTCAAGTTTCTATCCAGTCATTCATTCCACCTATAACTATGACCTAAACTATGGCACCTTTAATTATGCACACTTAACCATTAAACTGCGCATGGTGTATATATACGCCATGAGTAACGTCTCACCATGCACATGGCATATACTGTATGTACGCCATAGGGTGCCAGGCACGAATCAAATGACCCGCGGCCACACGGGGTTCACATCAGCTTCCTCAGGGCTCTTGTAATAAGACGCTATGTTTAAAAAAAATAGTAAGTAATATTCTCCGGTGTGGGAGCAACCAAGGCTGGCGCACGCAGCATGAGCTAACAGCATTGTTAGCATTATTGACCACAATAATGCTAACAGCATTATTGTGGTCATCAGCTTGTGACCACAGCATCGCCTAAAAATGTCAAAATAAATATGTAACTGCTATTATTTAGCGATGACAGTATTACAGATGACCCCTGACTGTGATAAAAATGACCAGGATTGTAATAATAGCAGGATTGTTGTGATAACGCTGTGTGGGAGGAGTAGTGCTGAGAAAGGGAGGGAGATAGCGTCGTTTACTGATTGTGTGGCCACCTATTATTGTCTGTATTCACCATACCAGTTCAGTGGTTCTCTATGGTGAACACAAATGTAGATACTTATATATAATGTGTGTTTTAGTGTAATAACAGCAAAAGGATTATGTTGGGAGGAGCCATTTGGGTGACGGAGGTGGCGTCGTCTGCATGACTTGTCGAGCTGTGTAGAGGATGGTCACTATGCTCTTTGGGCACCCTACAAGCTTAGGTGTACAGTTACGGTGCATAAAATATGTAGATACTTATATATAATGTGTGTATATAGTGAAATAGCACCACAAACAGTATTGTTGGGAGAGGAATTTTAGTGCGCCTGACCTTGAATGAGTAAGGGAGGCAGCCGCCAGCTGACTGTGTGTAGCGATGTCTCTTAGTGCCTGAACTAACTATATCAGCTTAGTTGTGCAGTTGTGGTGAACAAAACATGGGGATACTTATACATAATGTGTGTATATATAGTGTAATAATAGCAAAACTATTTGTTTGTTTTAGGAACATAATTGAATCACTAATATGAACACCATACTTTTGAGTATAGCGATGATTCACACATTTTATTATATAAATCTATCACACTACACACTGTTGAATAATATTACTGTAAAAAAATTAGAAAAAATAAATCAGAGACATTGAAATAATTAGGTAATAAGATCTTTGTCGCAACTCCCACCTGTCAGCTCGGGCAACGCTGACCACCTCTGACAACCACGCTGTCAACGCTCACATTTTGCCAGACTTTCTTGGTCTGTTGCGCCCAAAATATGTCGCCTACGATTTTTTATTTCTATTTTTCCTGTGCTTAGGGAACACAACATTTTTAGAAGACAAATTTTTTTTTAGATTTTTTTCTTGCGCACAGGGGTGTAAATCTCCTCAGGACCCCTTAGCAGCTTAAGGGTTAAAGGTACCTATATATCCGCATGACCTTTCTCCTATCTCCGTGATAGGTGGTGAAAAACGATTCTGACTAGGCTGCTTGTCGGACACACACACAACTCGCAAGGATTTATTGGAATGCTGCCCTGCCTCTTATTGTCCAACCTGCATTGTCCCACTTAATCATGAACCTCTTTATGGAACGTCCTAATCGTTAGGGCAATCATAAACCTTGCTTTCCTAATTTCTTGGGGTTATTTGTTGAAATTAGTTGAAATTCTTGATGAAATCGATACCTTTGGTGTCACTTGCCATATGGAGTTTTGTTCTTGTACTCTACTGGCATCTTTAATAATCTTCTGTACTTTATGAACATCCCGTGACACCAACTATGCTACATAGTCTTCCGTACTTGGTGCCTTTTGATAATGGGACACATTGTTGTACCTCTAACTTGATGTTTTTCAAATCTTGTTCTATGATCAATTGTCATTCATTAACAAACTCAAGTTAATGTACACTGTTCATTATGTACTGTGTACATTAACATTTTACATGTACAAAAATGTTCATGTTAATGTATTGTATACATTAACATGTATATTTTCACAGTTGAAACACATCCGAATACAGCTCTCAAAGCTGGCTGTTAAATTTAGTGGGATCAGAGGTAGAGGTCAGAGGTCTCTATACTGTACTGGGTGTATACTATATACAGAAATATTTTTAAATAGAACAAATGTTAATGTCGAGTAACATGTATAATATACATTGGGTTTCATAGGACAATTGGCATGATTCTCGATTCACAATCGGGGGTTCCCAGGCAAGACGGAAATGGTTGGGCATGTTTCCTTTTAACCTAATGCATCTGCAGTAAAACCTAGCAGTACATAGGTACCCAGGAGTTAATCAGGTTGTTGGGGGGTTGCATCCTGGGAAAGAGTAGTTCAACAGTTCCACCTAGGGGTGGGAGGGGGGACCTTACTAGAAGCCTAAAGTACATACTGTACATAATAATAACAATACAATAATACACAGAGAATAATCACACTATCATGACACATCAATGAGCACATCCACAGGAGCCGTGAAGAGGACTCGAACCTATGCATCTGGGGTGTTGTTCTAATTGCTGATTTATGTCGAGTAATTAGAAGTTAAAGGTAATTTTGGGTTGTAGAATAATAATGCTAATAATAATAATTTATTTATACAATACAAATGTACATAGAAATGATACACACAGTGGAGAATTCATTGGTAAGCTAAGTTCTGTACATGGTATCCAGCCACTAAGTACTCAAGAGCATTTTGGGCATAATTTGAAAAAGTTAGGCGAATAATATATATACAGTATATACTTAATAAGATAATACTTAAAATTAAATGAGAGATAATATTCCTGAATTGTTGAAGAGATTTATAAAATGATTGCCAATTTCTTACACAATTTTTGGAGACTGCAGTTTTGCAACAGTACTAAAACAGTAAGTAATTCTGTAATTACAGAAAAGATTAAAACAGATTTTATAAAATTTTTAATTATTTAGACAAGACATTTTTGTAACAATTTAAATTTAGTAATAAATGTTCACAATAACATCAAACACCGGTTGAACACGTAGGGTGAGCAAAAGCCAATAGAGCGGGTTACATAAGAGTTAATTATAGGCAGTTATAAATTTATCTTCTTAATTGATTGAGAGAGGTACAGTACAGGCACCAGCTTCATTAGGGAGGTCATTCCACAGTTTAGAACCCTTGGTTTGCGGATCATTTCTGCTTTGGTCAAGTCAAGTCACGCTTTTGCCATATCAAAATGGATATTTTGTTTCTCGTGTGGTGGCCGTGGGTTCTATTTCAGCCCTGTTAGGAAGCGCATAAGATCAGGATTAGCATTGTCTTTCAAATCTGTACGGATACAGAATATACTTGAGAGTATGTGCAGTAACTTAATAGTTAACATATTAAATATTTAACATAACATTTCAAAGATGTCAGTAGAGGAGTTGAGAGGTGTCTGGCACCGGCACTTGTTATTGTTCTAATTGCTGATTTATGTCGAGTAATTAGAAGTTAAAAGAGGTCAAATGAACAAATCCACAAGGGCCGTGATGAGGGTTTGAACTTACGCCCGGGATGATCCCAGATGCTGCCTTAGTCAACAGCAGCGTCTGATGCATCACGCTATTGTGATTTGTGTGTGTGCAATATTGAAGTGAGGATGAAGAGGTAGAACAGCTTGTTAGCAAAGCCAGAGTGCATGAGGGAATTGTGTAAAACCCTGGTTTGTGTCTCGGAGAGGCTACAGGATCCGTGTAAGGTCAGTGGAACTCTCGGTTACAATTCTTTTACCATGTCTTGGCCTAGTTGACTAAGGCAGCGTCTGGGATCATCCCGGGCGTAAGTTCGAACCCTCATCACAGCCCTTGTGGATTGGTTCATTTGATGCATCACACTATTGTAATTTTTGTGTGTATTAAGGAGGTAATTTTAGGTTGTAGATTCCCATGCACAGATACCTGCATCAGATATGGGTAGATAAGCATCTACCCCATAAGTATTACCAAGGCAGGGTGAGGCACATGGTAGCTGTCTTCAGAAAGAATCCCTATTGTTTTTAAAAACGTTTTGTTTTGTTTATTTTTAGTATATGGTAATGGAAATTCAGCTTATCAATGTGTACACCAAGGAATTTCCCAATACTCTATTCTTAATTTGGTTATTGTCAATTCTTAGGTTAATTTGAGTGGCGGATTTGTTACCAAACAATATGTAAAATGTTTTATCAATGAGTTTATTGATAAACTCAGTTTTTTATCAATTTATCATAAGGGTGAGTTTGTTGGTAGTCAGCCACTGATGGACATATTTAGGTCAGAATAATAAAATATTTTTAGGTCATGTTATTTAGAAAAAGTGGGTCAGGGGCCTGATCCGAGACCGGGGCGTGGGTCTCGACCCCCAGAATCAGCACAAGGTGACGGCAAGGTATGGGAGTATGGGAGAAAATGAAAGTTGTGTCATCAGAAAATAGAATTGGTTTCAGGTATTGAGTGGAATTTAGTAGATACATGCAGCCTGTCCTCTAAACAAAGACCCAAAGTCCATTCCATGCAACCCCAAACCCCCTGTTTATGAATGAAAAATGGTTTACACACAACTGATGACATTCGAATACTTCCGGAACAAGTGCTTCACTGATGAATTTTGTTTTAATCACAACACTAAATGCTTCACCTACGTACTACAAATACGTACAATTAATCTCCAACAAAACCTAAACACCTAACCTAACTAGTGCCGAAATATGTACAATATGCTAATATAAAATAATATTAATTTATTTTTGATAAAATTCCGGTTTTAAATAAACATCATTTAGGGGGCCTGATGACTGAGTAGACAACGCTCGTGGGTTCGTAGTTCTAAGGGTTCAGGTTCGATCCCCGGCAGAGGCGGAAACAAATGGGCAGTGTGTCTTTTACCCTGATGAGCTTGTTCATTTAGCAGTAAATAGGTGCCTGGGAGTTAGACAGCTGCTATGGACTACTTCCTGGGGATGTGTGTGTGAAAATTATGATCAAGGACTTGCCCAAAATGTTATGCATGCTAGTGGCTGTAAAAGAATGCAAGAACTCTTGTATATATAAATAAATAAATAATGTTAAAATTGATGAATGTGTCTTTGGGGTCGACTGCTAGATGGAATGGACTTGGTCTGAAGACGGGTTGGTACCTGATGTATATCTGAAAGAGGAGTGGATCAAGTATACCACCCTACGGAAAGCCAGTGTTAATTGGTAGAGTGGCAGAAGTTTCATCGTTCACTGAAACATACTGCTGCCTGTCACTGAGGTAAATTGTGGTTGATTGATGATTGATAAAGATAAAGCCATCACAAGAGGTGGAACGGGCATGAGTAGCCCGTAGTTGGAAGATGTTTATAGTGAATGTGGTCTTTGGTTGTGTAACATCTTGAAGTGTGTCTGGGCGTGGTGTCTCGAGGTAAATTGCATGTATCGAAGAGCGTGACTTCACAGTGTTGCACTTTGAGAGTAAGGATATTGTCGTTAACGCAAAAGCTTCCACACAGGTTTTTTCATTCCACTTTTTTTTATTTCATTCCATTTCAGGTTTAGCATTCCACTTCACCGGATCTTTCAGGCATCCCTGTGTACAGGAATCGTAGCAGACGTGTGGAAACAGGCTAACATAGTTCCAATCTACAAAAGTGGCAGCAGGGAAGATCCCCCTCAATTATAGACCTGTATCATTGACAAGTGTAATAGTGAAAATATTGTTAAAAATAATAAAATCTAAATGGGTAGAACACCTGGAGAGAAATGATGTAATATCAGACAGACAGTATGGTTTTCGATATGGAAGATCCTGTGTATCGAATTTACTCAGTTTCTATGATCGAGCCACAGAGATTTTACAGGAAAGAGATGGTTGGGTTGACTGCATCTATCTGGACCTAAAAAAGGCTTTCGACAGAGTTCCACATAAGAGGTTGTTCTGGAAACTGGAAAACATTGGAGGGGTGACAGGTAAGCTTCTAACATGGATGAAAGATTTTCTGACTGATAGAAAAATGAGGGCAGTAATCAGAGGCAATGTATCGAACTGGAGAAATGTCACAAGTGGAGTACCACAGGGTTCAGTTCTTGCACCAGTGATGTTTATTGTCTACATAAATGATCTACCAGTTGGTATACAGAATTATATGAACATGTTTGCTGATGATGCTAAGATAATAGGAAGGATAAGAAACTTCGATGATTGTCATGCCCTTCAAGAAGACCTGGACAAAATAAGTATATGGAGCACCACTTGGCAAATGGAATTTAATGTGAATAAATGCCATGTTATGTAATGTGGAATAGGAGAACATAGACCCCACACAACCTATAAATTATGTGAGAAATCTTTAAAGAATTCTGATAAAGAAAGAGATCTAGGGGTGGTTCTAGATAGAAAACTATCACCTGAGGACCACATAAAGAACATTGTGCGAGGAGCCTATGCCACACTTTCTAACTTCAGAATTGCTTTTAAATACTGTACATGGATGGTGAAATACTAAAGAAATTGTTCATGACTTTTGTTAGACCAAAGCTAGAATATGCAGCAGTTGTGTGGTGCCCATATCTTAAGAAACACATCAACAAACTGGAAAAGCTGCAAAGACATGCTATTAAGTGGCTCCCAGAACTGAAGGGCAAGAGCTACGAGGAGAGGTTTGAGGCATTAAATATGCCAAACTAGAAGACAGAAGAAAAAGAGGTGATATGACCACTACGTACAAAATACTGTAGTAACAGGAATTGATAAAATTGATAGGGAAGATTTCCTGAAACCTGGAACTTCAAAAACAAGAGGTCATAGATTGAAACTAAATAAACAAAGATGCCAAGGAAATATAAGAAAATTCACTTTCGCAAACAGAGTGGTAGACGGTTGGAACAAGTTAAGTGAGAAGGTGGTGGAGGCCAAAACCGTCAGTAGCTTCAAAGCGTTATATGACAGAGTGTTGGGTAGACAGGACACCACAAGCGTAGCTCTCATCCTGTAACTACTCTTCGGTAATTACTTAGGTAATTACAGGTCAACATATAAACCTATATTAGGTACTGTAATCATTTTCGTCAAGAGCTGCATGTATCAAGTGAAGCATATTACTGAAAGCATTTTTTTGGGGGGGGGGGAGCGAACCCATATTGGCTAAGCATATTATGTTTAGCTAGAAGAGTAAAACTGTACATTAGCTTTCATATATTTTGGACAGGGCAGGCAGGATTAATTTTGGTCTAAATTTTTTTATATCATTGTGATAACCACTTGTCTGGAGTGGGATTATTCTAGACTTTTTTTTTCAAAATCTGGGAAGGTTTGGAGTTCAAGTGATTTTTTGTAGAACAGTGATATGGCCAGAGCTAAGAGCCAGGGCCAGATTCACGAAGAAGTTATGCATGCACTTATGAACCTGTATATCTTTTCTGGCTTTGTTTACAATTATTACACAGTTAATGAACTCCGAAGCACAAGGAGGCTGTTTATAACAATAACAACAGTTGATGGAAGTTTTCATGCTTGTAAACTGTTTAATAAATGTAACCAAAGCCATCAAAGATTGAGGAAAGATGTATATGTTCGTAAGTACTTGTGTAACTGCTTCGTGAATCTGGCCCCAGAGCTTTTTCATAAAGTACTGTTAGCATCTCGGCAAGTGCCCAGTACTTGATTTAGTTTTAAGTGAGAGGATTATGTCATTAAGAAGAATTAGTTGGGATAGGTACATAGACTCAGGATAGCTGCTTGTGAGGCAGTCATTAACATTGGTTAGGGATACTTCCATTTGCAAGGGCAGTGCCAGTGAAAGGGAGAGAACTACAATATTGAATTTAGTACACACAAGCTTCCTGTCCCTGACAATGGTAATATACAGATTATATATAATTGAGTATGACAAAAAGATTGAGACCAATGATTCTACCTTGAATCTTTTCTACACAGTGCTACCTTCGTTTACAAATTTAATCCGTTCCAAGAGACAAGTCGTAAACCAAAAATTTGTAAACCTAAATGAATTTTCCCATAAGAAATAATGTAAATTTAATTAATCCATTCCACAAACCCAAAAATATTAACTTAAAAATACCATTTTATACAGAATACTACTCATATGTTACACTACAGTATATTTTACTTTCATTTGAGGACTCTTGTTGGCATATGGGTAAATACTGGTTCGGTAACAGGGTTATTGATTTGTGGAACCAGTTGCCATGTGGCGTGGTGGAGGTGGGGTCTCCTTGATTGTTTCAAGCATGGGTTGGACATGTATATGAGTGGGATTGCATGGTTATAAATAGGAGCTGCCTCGTATGGGCCAATAGGTCTTCTACGGTTACTTTTATTCTTATGTTCTTATGGAAGATGGTGAGGAGGAGGAGAGGTGCTAGTGTTTGGGAAGGGAAGTCCCCTTCCATGATAACATAAGGCACTGATGCCATTTCTTGGGTACTCTCTCGCCTACATTTTGCAGGCATACTACATGGACCTGGTTGTGGCTCAGTGCTTGCTTGTCTTACTAAGAATCTGTCTAAAGACACTAGTTTTCCCTATATTTTAACACTTGTCTGTAGTGTGACATTAAATTGTCATTAAAAAGGTTAATGTAACGACCTGCTACAGCTTTATCTGGGCGAGTTTTTTCAACAAAACTCTGCAGTGCTTTCCATACTGCACACATTTTCTTAATGAGGAAGGGACATCCTCTACTGCCTCTATTCACAACTATTTTCTTAGGTTGAACTTTACCATTGACTTTCTTGGGACCCATGGCATGATATATAATAATTACTTTTATGTTCAGAAACCAAAAAAGCAGAAAAACAATGAAATTCTTCGCAAAGAATTAAAGTGCAGTCATCACTAGGCGGGAGACACTGGTAAACTGAGGTGTGTCTCGCCTGCGCCCAAAAGAACCATGCACTCATCGACCCATACATGTACACTATCAATAAACTCGAGAACTGAGGCAAACCTCAAATACCGAGTCAAATTTTACGAAGAAATTGAGCTCGTATACTAAAAAATTTGTAGAAAGGGGCATTCATCAATCGAGATTCCACTGTATTTCTTATGTTCTTAACTAGAAGGATGTTGAAAAATTGACTCTCTAAGTTCATTTTACAGTGTTATTATGGCCAGATGCTAAGAGATGAATTTAGTTGATCCTGTCAACATTTTCAAGAGCATAATAGAAGTGAATACAATTTGCTTGAAGCAGCCGAATATATAACCAAGAGTGAGATGAATTATCACTTGGGCCAATAGGACCACTGCATTTCACCCATCAGCAAAGTTTCAATGATGGCTAGACATACAACCATATGAAATATAGAGAAGATTTGTGCTAGAACCATTCATTTAGCCCTTTCTGTCATATTCAGTAACATATGTCTACAAGAGACTGCGACCAAAATAAATAAATTTATATATATAGGGGGTACCACCACTGGTGCAATTAGGGCTTGATCAACAGAACTCCAAGTGATCCTCAAGGATATGAACCTTGGCCACCAAAGTATTAGCCCAGTACTGTATCCACATGTACTGGTTTGAAATGAGGCTTACATCTTGTCGACTAATACATATACTCAAGAGCTTGATAATGTATTTAGGAGAGTGCGAAAGACTTGGTTTAGTTTCAACCCTGCAAATTTCACAACGTAACGTTCCCTATGATTCCCTTGTTACAACTTGTAATAAAGTTGTTACATCTTGTTATACTATTTTTATGACATTTTAGAACGTTTTTACAGCTTGCTATGTTGGTTGTTACAATTGTTAGGTGTTAAACCTTGTACGAACGTCGTAGTTTCATCGTGTGTTTGGCGGGAAATCTTTACATAAAATACACAAAAACATAAATGTGTTTTTTGTTATGTTATTATGTCTGTGATAAGACATTAACATTAGTGTTATAAGTATTGAAAAGTGGTGAGATCTACATGCATTTAGTACTGAGCAACTCTCATGGACAATGGGCAGTTATTTCATCAAATCCTTGAAAATGTTAGGCTTGCACTCTCAAAAATGTGTAAAGCTTCAATGGTCTCCAAACATCAGTTTTTCTCCAAGTGGTGAGATTTAGTGGACTTACATCCATTCAAAACCCTGCTACTCTCATGGAGAACGGGCAGTTACTTTAGCAAATCCAGAAGAATTATTAATAAATACACAATGTTACATGAAACTCATTTATGTGCTATTTAAAAGAACACTTTTACAGTAATTACAGTGAGTGAACGGTGATGTTGTATGAGACAATTATCAAACAATTATCAAATTATTATTGATATTAGTTTTATATCAAATTAACAGGTCATAAATATGAGGCAAGTATTAAGCCTTTTTCTAGCAATAAAGATAAATAAATATTGCTCCTCTACCCAGTACATCAAGCTTAACTGATCATATGCGACAATTTAGCAAAACTTAAACATAGTCTTAAAAAAACGAACAGCAAATATTGTCTTGAATTTAAACATGGTAGATTCAAGCATCTGTAAACAGATGACAAATGCTAGTAGAAATTAGGCCTAGACTATTTACCTTGAAAAAAATACAGGATAATAAAAATCGTCAAGTCCAGCTAATATAGATGGTAAATACTGGTTAAAAAAAATGCCAGAGTCAGGTTAACATAATTGTCAGAATTAGGCTAATATAATTGCCAGAGTTAGGCTAATATAACTGTGTCAGGTTTATATAGCCTAACTGTGCTAAAGTTAGGATAGAGGTATATATATATTTCTGACTTTGTAATTATATATGCCAGAGTTAGGCTAATAAAGCTACTAGAGTCAAGTTATACTTTTGTCAATGTCTAAATTAGTTATATATACAGTAAATGCAAGAGTCAGGTCAATATAGTTATTGAAGCTCAGCCAGACTAATATAAATGTCTCTGTCTAGCTAAACATAAAGACAATAACACACAAATTTGGAAGCGATTCGTGAAAATCATGAAGGAAGATAACACAAAAACCATTGACATATATTATTAAGAGTAACAACTAAAAAATCAGTCATAAACAATATATATATATATACATATATAAGAAAATGACTTACACTTGGGAATACTGGTGGTCTAATAAGGCACTAATATGTGCTTTATTATACTTTAACATTCTTGGAATGCTCTGCCAAACTCAAAATGGAGTGTCTATCACCTGAGTGTACCATCCAGTGCCTCCTCAAATCAGGAAGACGCCTGAATCGCTTCCCACACTCTGGACACTCATGAGGCTTATCATCTGAATGCACTAACATGTGCTGTATTATATTTCTACGTACCCTAAATCTCTTGCCACACTCTGCACACTCAAAAGGTTTTTCATCATTATGTACACTCCTGTGTTTCTTCATATTTCCAAGATGACTGAATCTCTTTCCACACTCTGGACACTCATGAGGTTGATCATCCGTATGCACCATTGTATGCCTCCTCATACTTCCAAGATGACGAAATCTTTTACCACACTCGACACACTCGTAAGATCTTTCATCTGTGTGCAATAACATGTGAGTCTTCATATTTCCAAGCTGACTGAATCTCTTTCCACACTCTGGACACTCGTGAGGTTTTTCACCCGAATGCACTAACACATGTCTCCTCATATCTTCAGGACGTCTGAAACACTTACCACATTCTGGACACTCATGAGGTTTTTCACCCGAGTGTACCATCCAGTGCCTCCTCATATCTTCAGGACGTTTGAAACTCTTATCACACTCCGGACACGCGTGAGGTTTTTCTCCCGAATGCACCATCATGTGTCTCTTCATATCTCGAAGATGACTAAAACCCCTCCCACAGTCTGGACACTGGTGAGTTTTATCACCTGAATGCACCATCCTGTGGGTCTTCATATTGTAGAAATGACTGAACTTCTTCCCACACTCTGGACACGCGTGAGGTTTTTCATCCGAATGTACTATTTTGTGTCTCTTCATATCCCGAAGATGACTAAAACCTCTCCCACACTCTGGACACTGGTGAGTTTTCATCTTCTTTATGACAGGTGAGTTTGTATGAAGGTTTACTCCTGTGGACAACTGCACGAGTGGTGATGTTGGGAGAGGCGTCACGGTCCAGCGTCGGTGTTGATTGCCAGGCAAGGCTTGAATCTTGTTTCTTAAGAGTTAAGACTTGATGTGAGCACTTGGCGGTCAATGGTGGTGCTTCTTCTTTATGATAGGTGCAGTTTGTGTGAAGGTTTTCCCTCGATGCTGATGTCTAGACACTCACGGTCACCAGCTGTTGTTGTTGACAATGCTGGTAGTCGCTTACACTCCTGTGATGACAACTTTGCCATTTTCTTCTGACCGCGAGTTTGGGTAGACTATAATATAGTTCGCCTGGCATTCAAGGATCTATAGGATAGAGTAAACGAAGAAAGTTGTGATCTCATTGGAATTAACAATTTTAGACCAATATAAGTTTTTCTCACCTTCTCCAAAATATTTGAAAAGCTAATGTTCAAGCACCTTTAGTCTTGTGCTATACTGTACCCATATTTTGCTTGTGAAGGCTAATAGATCAGCATTACATTTTACGTTCTCTAATGATTTTTCATCAGAGTTGATTTATTTTTGTAATGAGGTTGGTAGTTTTTTCCCTGATTCCATATATGACTAACCATCCTGTGAGATGGGAGTATTAGGTGAACTTATAGCTAGTTTTTTATATACACTGTGTAATCTTTCATATAAAATAGGGTTGTAGTACATTGTTGTGTATACCTAAGCTTGTTAATAAAAAAGAAAGTTACAGGGATCTGTAACGGACGATTATGTTACGTTGTTGGGTAGATTAGATACACAGTGTTTAGTGAGTTTCATATTTATTTAGTAGTCTTGATTACAGTAGCCAGTTGGTGGCATTGTCGTAAACGTTGAGACGGAGCTTGGAGCAGAGCAGAGAGCTGAGTGAGGCCGGAGTCGCGGAGCTCTATGTGGGCAGCCCGTCCTCCAAACAAAGATCCAAAAGTGATTCCATGCACCCGCCAAACCCCCTGTTTATGAATGAAAAGCGGTTTACACACGACTCACAACTGCTGACGTTCGAACACTTCCGGAATAAGTGCTTCACTGACGAATTTTGTTCGAACCACAACGCTGTAAATGCTTCACCCACGTACTACAAATACAAATAATCGCCAACAGAACCTAAACACCTAACCTAACCTATCCTATGCCTATATATACACAATATGTTAATATATTATAATATTAATTTATACTTGAGAAAATTCTCGTTTTGAATGAATAGCATGTTAAAATTTATGAATGCGTCTGTGGGGTTGACCGCTGAATGTAATGGACTTGAGTCGAGGACGGGTTGCAGTGGGAGAGCGTTTCGGCTCGATTGGGGAATCGTGAGTGTCTGAACTCAAGGAGCGAGAGCGTTGTAGCTGGATGCGGTCCTAGTCTGCTGTCTGCTCTGTGTCGAAGCTGTAGCGTCTTGGGGTCGGTTAGAACTGTACACGCCGAGTGCTACATTCTTAACTGTGGAAGTTGTAATATCGGCTATTCGATGATTGATTGAATGGTGAAGATTAAGGCACCCAAAAGCTGGCACGGGCACGAATAGCCCGTAAGTGGTGGCCCTTTTGAGCCATTACCAGTATCAAGAGCTGATACTGGAGAGATACTGGAGATCTGTGGAGGTGCGACTGCACCCTGCGTGACGGGAGATGTCTCCCGTGAAACCGGCTATTCGCAATTCGCTTGCTTATATTTGGTGACTACACCTCAGTTCCCTCCAACAGGATGAAAAGAGTGTTACATGTAATTGGGGAAAAGAATTGTAGCTTCTGTAATTAGTGCTAATTAGTTATGCCATTAAGATAATGAGAGACTGGAGCGAGTATAATGTTTACTCGCTACAGATCCTACGACCCAGGGATTGTCAGGCGCATACTCTGCGGTAGTCTAGTGGATTATTATTATTATTATTGTATTTTGAAATTGTTGACAGATTTTAAAATAAATGATAATAGGCATAGACTACTGCATTAACCATGTAATGTATCAATAATACAATGTATGTATGTATGTGATGTAACTATGTAACCTGAGCTTGTAAAAGCACCTTAATCACCTTCAGTGATTAAGTGCTTATTTGCACACTAGTTTCTCTATCAGCTATCTCATCCTGTCAGAGTAAAAGAGTCAAACGTATGTGAATGCATGTGTGTGTATATATGTATATGTACGTATATGTGTATGTGTGTATGTATGTGTATAAAGTATATATGGAAGCTGATCGGAATTACATTTCACCTTTGTAAATGCACATTAATGACATTATGTAAAAGACACATCGAACACTTTATGTAGGGCATACGTAAATCTGTGTATTTTATGTATTTACGTATGTAGGTTAGCTTAACATTTTAAAAGCACCGAATCACCTTCTGTGGTTGATTGTTCAATGATCCCCTGAACTATGTGTTTAGCACATCTCTAACCCTGTCCATGGAGGACAGAAGAAAATGTATATATGCTGGTTAGCATTGTAAATGTGTGGCCACGTCTGTGGTAGAAAATAATAATAATAATAATAATAATAATAATAATAATAAAATACTGCATTATAGAATCTGTAGTTTTCTCAATAAATTGGCAGTCCGAGAGAAGTAGCGTTGTTCACAGAAACATATTTTCTGAGGTTGGAAGAAAACGTGCTCAGATTGGGGACTTGTTTATTTATAATGAATAATAAATTAATATATAAAATTAATATATAATAAATTAATTTATTATATAAATTAATAAATAACAAATAGATAAAATTATTATTATATAATAAATAATAATAATAACAACAAATAGTATAATGATAAGCAATTATTTTAATGAATCAAATAGCTAATTTGGATGGATGATAAATAATTATTGACTAGTGCATAACAATAAAGTATTAAGGAATAATTATAATGAATAATCCTTAATGATAAAGTAGAGATCAATTACAATTAATAACTACATCCATAGGTAGTAAATGAAAGTTGCATTAATTAGACTAATTACAATTCATGGGAATATTTCTTAGCTATCTGCAGGCTTATCACTTTGGGGGTTCCGGCGGAGCACCCCCAAAGATACAGCAAATGTTTAGCATGCTAGAGCAAGTGCCCCTTGAGCACATCTGTGGGCCGTCCCTTTCAAAATTAAAACAGGGGATGCAGAGGATCCCGGGAGGAGGGTGGGCGTTATGTAAGAGCAGCTGCTGGCTTGGGGAAAGGGGGCCCACACCGTCTCCGTCCCGGTTTATATAACCTCGGGTCAATGCGCGCGCAGCTTGGGGCGGTTAAAGTCGGCTTCCAGACATACGTTTTCTTCCACTCAGAAAACCCACCGTTTTTGGGAAACAGTGTTCTTTTTCTGATCGGGGAGAAAAAACAAGCCAGGAGTGGGGGGACCTTAATTTATTAAGTAATGTTTACAGAGCAACTGCTGTACCACAATAAAAGATGTCGTGTAACATGACTGAGTAGAATGCCAGTAGTGCAAAGATGCAACTAAGGGAATGAGTCGTAGGACATTAACCGTACCTAGTGCCGGCTAGCCGAAGCAATGTTGCAGTACTCGCAATCAGCTTAATACTATAATTCGTAGTCTAGGAGAAGACTAGTAGTCTCCGTGGTGTAGTGGTAAGACACTCGCCTGGCGTTCCGCGAGCGCTATGTCATGGGTTCGTATCCTGGCCGGGGAGGATTTACTGGGCGCAATTCCTTAACTGTAGCCTCTGTTTAACTCAACAGTAAAATGTGTACTTGGATGAAAAAACGGTTCTTCGCGGCAGGGGATCGTATTCCAGGGACCATAGGATTAAGGACTTGCCCGAAACGCTACGCGTACTAGTGGCTGTACAAGAATGTATGTATGTAATGTAATTAAAAACAATATGCCAGAGTTAATTGAGTGGCACAGCCAGTACAGTATGTATAAAATATATTCTGTATACACAGAGGGCATAGAAAAGAAATAGATAAGAATTTCCAGGGGTAATGATATGCTAGTGCCTAGTTTACATGTAAAGTCTGTAACCCCCAACTTGCACTACAAATGTGCACTTGACATATGGTAAGTAGCTGCGGGCAGCCCTAGACTTGGACTGAGCGCTGCGTAAATGTTTTTGCTCCTTCCCAGAATTCCCCCGCTTATTTTAAAATAAGCAGTGGCCATATACTGATGCCTGTGACTGAGCAACGCTTTCAAGCTCAACAAGCCATAAAGAGAACAGAAAACAGTTGCATGTTTACCCCCCAGGGTTATAATCCCATGGAACCGCTTACCCGCCGAAGCCCTAAATGTCACATCACTGCCGAGTTTCAGAGTCCAGCTGGACAAAATCACCAGGACAAATGGGGAGCCATACGACAAATGGGGAGCCATACGACAAATGGGGAGCCATACGACAAATGGGGAGCCATACGACAAATGGGGAGCCATACGACAAATGGGGAGCCATACGACAAATGCGGATCATCGAGGACAGGAAGCCGCTGACTTTCTGCCCCCGCCGAGGCCACTAGAAAGATAGTAGTCCTCAGGTAAATTAAGATAATTTCATGTAAGATTGAAAGCATTATAGGGAGTGACCCCTGACTCCATTGTGTTGCAGTTTCAGATACTTGTTGTGGTCAACTCTGTCAAATACCTTATGTAGGTCAAGTCAAACATTATTTAAATCATCTTTAGTGTTTATTTTAGGGTCTGAACACATATTGGCAAGAACTCCTTACAGTCTCCGTGGTGTAGTGGTAAAGACACTTGCCTGGCGTTCCGCGAGCGCTATGTCATGGGTTCGTATCCTGGCCGGGGAGGATTTACTGGGCGCAATTCCTTAACTGTAGCCTCTGTTTAACGCAACAGTGAAATGTGTACTTGGATGAAAAAACGATTCTTCGCGGCGGGGATCGTATTCCAGGGACCTGCCCGAAACGCTACGCGTACTAGTGGCTGTACAAGAATGTAACAACTCTTGTATATATCAAAAAAAAAAAAAAAAACTAACTCTTTTATGTTTCTCTGCGCAGGAGTGGCAGTTTAGTTCATTTATTATGCACCACATACCCATCCTATAAGCAGTAATGAAAAGGTTTAAGGAGGCACGCAATGGGCGCAGGAACTGAACTCCAGGGATTTATTTAGCTAAGGAAGTTACAGTCTTCATGATCTATTTATCACTCGGTACCCCTACTCAAATCTCTGAATATGTTAGATATTAAGTCACTGCACATTCTCTCATGTGTATTATACATATATAAAACGCTG